GAATAGTAGCTCTAATACAGCGACTTATCACATTTCTGTGTATTTTCGGGAATTTTCAAACAAACGTCGCTATAAATCGAGTTCAAATTCTACGATTTTGTTTAAAATTGCTCAGTTTGTAGCTCTTCAGATGCCCTTTCGAAAAAAAAACCTATCCAGAATACTCAATCGACCTTGTTTCAAGTGGCTCTAGTACAACAAACTACCGAATTTCTGTGTAATTTCATGAATTTTTTGACGAAAGCCGACATGGCTCGAATTCAAATCATATAATTTTTATTGAATTGGTTAATTTTTCTGGGGCTTTAAAATATTTTTTGAATTCCACTCGTTTATGCATCGATACATCAAGCATTACTTCCAAGTACTTTGGCAGTGTATTTTTATTCAAATTCAAAACAACAACAATCAAAAATCAAAGTCAATGAAAATGATACGCTGTGGCTAAAACATTTTTTCCCTCCAAATAGACTTAACCTCAATCGAATGTAAAACGTTTACGATGTCATCACTATTTTTGACATATTGACCATTCTTGATTTTATACAATATTAATATATCGTGTGATTAATATGAGTTATTCTGCTGTTATTTTGATTTGTTTTCATTTTTCACATTGAGCACTACAATATTTTCACGTATATAAGTTTTTACTAGAAAAAAAAATTAGAAATCGGTTGATTTCTTCAAGTACTTTCTTTCCACTCGTGGTTTTCAAAGTTTGTAGTCACAATTTTATTTGAAAAAAAAGCTAAAAAAGAACGATTTTGTTGATGTTGAAAGCCGTGTGTTGACAACGGTAAATGTAAGATTTAAGTGTTAAGAGATCTAATTTTTCTTTTGCTTAGAAGAAGACGAAGAAGAAAATTAAGAAGAGAAATTGTGTGAGTTTATGTGCGTATATTTTGAATATTGTTAAATTGCGGAAAAACACAAAGCAAAACAAATAGAAAACATGGCAGATAAATATGATTTATCAAAATTTCGATTGGAACGCATTTTAAATAACAACAGCGAAACAAAAACCATCTGTATCTTGGGCACATTCCCGTCCGAATTAGCGGCTGACACAAGGTATCCAGCTATTGTTGTACTCGAAAAAACTGCGTTCACCGACTATAATGTTAACACGGCAATCAATGATGATGGTGATGATGATGATGAGAACCAATGCAAATCATACTTTAGTCATGAGCAGGGACTGTCGCGAGATATTTATAGTAAGATATTTATTTATAATACTTATGGTTAGAAATAAGTCTTATTTCGTTGCGTGCACGCTACATTGCAAACGCACGACTCTGCTTGTACATACACAGAGACGAAGAGCGCATAGGCTACTCTGTGTATATTAATTAAGATGATCTAATGTGTAGTTGTTTTTTTTCTACTTGGTTCTTTAGGTGTAAAGTTGAACATAATTTCCCCATGCACGGAGACACACATTCAAAAGTATTCATCGCAAGAAATCTTTATCATGTTGGAAACACCGTATCTGTATAAAACCGTCACTGAATCACGATTACAGCTCGAATCTGAACTATTCACCTTGGATGTAAGTTATTGTATAGTAATAAAAACAAAAAAAAATAATTTATTACATACAGTCTCACAGCCATTGAACTTATATCCGGTTGGATATATTTTTAGTTAAGTGATTAAAATGTCTCAAATTAGGCAAATTGTTTGAGTCTTGGAAATCTTGCATTTAGTCAAAACACATTCAACTGTTTCTGACACAAAACGAGCTTATAAATTGTTATTTATTGTTACCTTTTTTTGTAATAGAAAATAATTTCCTAATTCATTCATTTTTGCAGTGGGTCTACAATATCCTCGAGCATAAAAACGAAGCGGATCGTATAATCGTCGAAGATCCATGCAAGACGCTTGGATTTATCCTATTGCCTGATTTTAAGTGGGATGGAACTTTGGAAACATTCTATGCCATTGCTATTGTTCATCAATTAAATTTGAAATCGTTACGATCATTGGCTGCTGAACATTTACCACTGCTTCGAAATATTCAGACAAAAAGTGTTACTTCTATCAAAACAAAGTACGGCTTGGATTCATCACAATTGCGTATTTACGTACATTATCAACCGTCATTTTATCATTTACATGTCCATTTTACATATCTAAAATATGAAGCGCCTGGAATTCATTGCGAAAGAAGGTAAACATAAGAAAAAATTTCACACATAATTTTTTTTTTTAGAAAAAACTCCAATATATACATTTTATATGTTTCTTTTATACAGTCACATGCTCAGCACCGTGATCAATAACATCGAATTGGTATCCGATTACTGTAAGATTTATTATATTTTGTTTTATTGAATAGGTTTAATTTGATGTATTTTTTTTTATTACAGATCAACGTGCAACAACAAATCGGTTGTCATTTTTCATCCTCGAGTATGTCGCCGCAAAAATATACGGGAGGAAACGAAGTCGGCAAATTACAAGTGAAAGTAGCTTCAAAGATTTCAAATTAGCAGTCATAGGGGACGATTTCGTACAAAATGCAGTTAAAAGTCTCCATTCGGGTGAAACATCGCGGAATATAGTCGAGAAACTATCACGTGCTGCAAACATTTCGGAATTCATTGCTGTATCGGAGACCCATCGCATGCTAATTCAGCGTTTTCTCTACGAATGGAACTATGTGCCGGCCCAAGATTCTCCAAAGCATATTTTAAATGCACTCAATGATGATTGTATTCAAGAGATTCTGCGAAAATTGACAGATCCAAGTGATTTCTTAAGCGCAGCCGAAACGTGTCGTGACTTTCAAGAGAATGCACTACAATGCTACCCACGGAATTTCAAAGAGTTGTCTTTGTCACTTGAAAATAAATCAGTTGGCCGCTACACTGCATTCCCTTTGAAGCACGCATCAAATTTTCTAAAAATCTTCGGTCATTTGATCCTGTATATGGAATTAATTTCTGATTTTGAAGATGGTACAATAGATATGATCGCTAAAAATTGTGGCGAAACATTAATTTACATGTATATTGAAGGCCATGAAAATACTAAGAGCAATTTTAATGACTTGTCGCATTTCAAAACCTTAATAGACATTAACATTTCTTCTATTTCAATGGATAATGTTGAATTACCTGAAAATTTGGAATGCATAAATTTGACTGGCGTAAAGGTCCAAGCAGATTTGCAATGTATCATGAAAAAATTCCCAAAATTGAAATATGCTTATTTTGATAAAGTTGATAATCTAAATGACGCGGCGTTCAATGCATTCATCATGCTTAATCCACAAATAGAAATGCTTTTAATTGTTGATATTCAAAATCTCTCATTTTCAGCTATCAATAGTATCAGCGATCGTTTACCAAATCTTGTGGATTTGAGAATTGATTGCCAATTCTTGGCCACACATGAATACAATGAATTAGTGATGCATTTTAAACAATTTCAACAATTGAGACATCTAGCAATAGGTGTTGAAATTGATCTGTTCATTCCAGCAGTTACTTCAATCGATTCGATTGTTACGAACATACCCAAAATTGAGACGCTACGACTTGTGGGTTTTCTTAATTTTGACCAAACTCTACCCGGTTTACTTCAATTGGATGAGCTCAAATTATTAGATATGTATTGTTTTGATTATGTTCCTTTTAATACAATCCTTGAATTAGTCAAAGCATCACCTACATTGAAAGATATTAGATTCAACTGTTTTACGATTAGCGTATCAGAAATAATGAATATTTTGGAATACAGCAAAAATTTGAATACGCTTGAAATATGGATTAATAAAATGGATATGGTTTTATCGGTTTACAATTCAATTTTGGCACTAATTAAAGGACGTCTCGAAGTTGTTCTTCGAATAACTGATGGAAATATTGATGAGAATATTTTTAAACAAAATATGCAACGATTGAAAATAGTGAGAGGAGGATAAAAGATTATCAAGGCATAGGGCTGGAAGTGTTATTAACTGTCCTTTTTATACAATTTTTAGACATTGAATGACGACTGAGCTTTCATAGATTGTTCGGAAAAAACAACTAATACAGCTGTGTGACGGTGTGACAAGCCACAGGACAGCTCAGTCCTCTACATTCATATTTCCGTTCCTTCCCAGGTCACTCTGTTTTATGTCTATTAAGAATTCTAAAATATATAAAAATGAAAATTTGAATTTTTCATCTAATTTTAATGAATAATTATAAGTGCTATTATTATTATTTACCATTATCTGGTGGGCACACTATTTGATTCATATTCTATAACAGAATGAAAATTGAGATATAGATTAATTAATTTTAATGGAAAAAATTAAAAACGTGGAATTTGCCTGATCCATTTTCAGGATTTGAATTTCAGAACAACAAAAAGATGACACAATCAAAGCAATTCCCAACAATGAGATTGAACAAGACGATAGTGATGTCTGGCAATGACATCGTTGGAAGAAATAGTAAAAAAAAGTCAGAGCTAATTATAACATGTTTATCTTTATTTAACAACTTTGACCTTTCAAACAAAATATATGAACATGTCATTAATGTTTTTTTTTTCTTAACATAAAAACTATGGCGAAAACTGTGGTGCGTCTTGATCTGTATACACACTGTCGAGTTTTAGGTTGGGATACAATTTTGCAATTTTTCCGAGCGGAGTACACAAGCGACCGGCAAAGTCTAGACGTTTTCTACTTAACGCACGATCTGCAGCCACTTGAATTTCGTATAAAGATCTGAAATAAAACAAAAAGAAAAACTTTAGTATCTTTCAATTCTATCAATCTCGTGCATGTGTTGAACAGAGTGTGAATGGAGCTCAAATTCTGAATTTAGTGTCAATTCACCGATTGCCTGAGGATAGCAATGAATGTTGGGCTTTTTTCTTGCTGGCGGTCGAGTCACTTGAGCCGGGCGGTGACATTGGTGAATTTGTTACTTGTGTATTGAGCCGTTTCGAATCTTTGCTCACTTCCGACACGTTTTCATTTTTGATGAATGTCAATAGTTTCTTGTGATTTGATGATTGTGGACCAATTTGCAGAATATGAATCAATTCGGCCCAAAGTAACCTATACTGTTCATCTTTCTTGGTGCCTTTAAGTCTACAAAGAAAAATAATAAAATATTCATATCAATTATCAATCGATTACGTGAAATGTTCAGTTAATGTTTACTTGTGATGTCCAATCGGTAGTGTTAGTGGTTCTTGTCGAGCTTCGAATGCAATCAAATTGTAAATTATTTGCTGACACTTCAGAATTTCATCGTCACTTATTTCTTCCTTGCCAATCATGGTGAGCATTGGTTCGAGAAACTAATGATGAGAAAATAGAATTAAAAATGATATGAAAAAATGATGTCAATGATTTTTTTTTGCTTTATCTCTTCTGACCTGTCGAACGTTGTATACAATGGTGGATCCAGCGGTGAGAGGAAAATATTTTGTGGTTTTACAAAATTTCGCTCTCAATCGCATGAGATTTCGGTCTGGCAATCGATCCGGATATTGTTTCAACGGAATGAGTTTAAAATTGTGAATGATCGATGCAAAGTCGTTTATACGATAGTCGGTCACTTTTCCACTGTTACTTTCCAACACTGATGGTAAGTCTTCTAGACAACTGCGTGATGTGTGTAGCGTATGAATGAAAATCTCACCACCATGTGCCGATAGCATGTGACTGGTTATCTTTCCGCCCGTTTCTCTGAAAATAAACCAGAACCGAATTTTTCCATTTAATTCAAAATTTGTGTTTTGCAAATGTATTCAATTTACCTTGGCATTTCGAGTAGAACGGATCGTCCGTTGAGAAGAAAATTGATTAAACACGAACTGGGGCGTGATGTAACATCGACCGGTGTAATTCGATATTGTGCCAAACACGGCTGTAGTTCGGCTGCTCCAACGCCGCGTGGTGTACACCATTTCAATGTAACCGTCTCATATTCAGCATTTTCTTTGATGCTCGTTGGTAGCTCTTGTTCGTTACGACAAATGATCGAATGTGATTTTCGCGAATGGAAAATTTCCACATCATAATTTGCACTTGAACTTGCATTTTGTTCCTCTTTCATTGGTATACCGGTCACTGTAGTACTGGCCAAATCATAATGCGGCAAAATCAAATGAGTCAATTTGTTGCCAAAATCACGGGCTTTCACCGAATGAACCTCTGCTTTGACCGTGCCATTCAGATCACGCAATGGACGATTTGTAACCATTGAGTCTAATCCAGAGGGATGCAAATTTATCACAACCAAATGACATTGATCGATTTTTATAAATTCGGATGCACCTTGTGTCGTTTGAAAATTTTGCTGTGTTACCACGGTGTAGAAAATTTCTTCCAAACTTTTCATGCTTGAATCATCACGTGCGGATGTGATACAAATTACTCGTGCCCGATTCATCACTTTAACACCTTTTGCTCGTTTTTCCTTTTGTTGTTCGGTTTGTTCAGCCAGCGCTTCAACAGCTGCACGCAAACCATGAATCACTGTAAATTCAGCTGAATGTGGTAACGGTGGCGGTGTACCAACCATGGCCATTGCATTCATTACATGCGTTAGATTTTGCGTTACGGGCGCCCATGTATTCACAATGTGAGCATTTGCATCGCTTACTATGAATCGAATCTGAAATAAGCAGAAACAATAGGGTGTTTGAGTTACGAAAGAACTGCATACAACTGAAAGTACATGACTTACATATTTACCGGTCGGAAATAAATCCCAAACGATACGACAGTATTCGGCCGCTGTTTCAACAGACGTCGTCCAAAGGCTCTACAAACACAAATCGCACATAATTAAATTGCCGTAAATAATTGACACCAAAAATGCAAAAAAAATCACCTTTGAAACTGGCACCACTGATTCGATTCCTTTGCTATTCACAAATTCAAGCTGGAATGTATTGTCTCCAGAAATGCCTAATCGAAAAACATTGTGTTATTTCCACAGTACACAGTGATGTCCATTGGACAGTATAAATAACAAATTCCTACCGAAATATTGTGTGTGATCCAACACAAACACCGTTTTATGATTGAAATCTTCCATTTTTGTTCAATTGAAATGTTTCTATTTGCGAATAAAAAGTCACAACATAATTGAATCGGATTTTGGTTTGTTTGTAATAATAATTCAGTTTCAATCTGTCACCGGCATCATATCATTCCATGAACTGTCATAACTGATGCAGATGGCACCACCTATTAATGTGAAACGTTCAATTTGCTTTGAAATAAATAAACAAATGCGATCATAAATGTATTTTTTGTTTTTATCGTAAAACAATTTTTGTGTCTTATTTCCTAAAATTGAAAAATTAATCTTCATCGACATTCATGTTGTTCTCCAAATTGGCATGCGGTTGCATACACTTTAGTGTGAATTCAAGTGCTTTGATTGCAGTCAGATGCTCGGTCATTCGTTTAAAATGTCGTTCCGTGTACGGTAATGCGTCTTCAACCAGCTTGATGCGACTAGTTGGTTTGAATTTTCCATTGAGCACATCTTTCAACAAAAGATTCAGCACCAATTGCGATGTTCGTGTATTTCGGCTATTTGTATTCCATGAAAGTGTATGATTTAAAAGTTTCTCCTTTTCACTTTCGTTTAATTTCAATACAGTTTCATCCAATCCGTCTTCTTGTGACTTGATCACCTCTGTGATGATGTTAAGCGATAACTTTGGTTTCGATAGTCGTAGTGCATATTTCAACGCTTTCAAATGTTTCTTTTCGCGTAATAAATTGTCGAGTTCCTGTTCCTCAAGTGCCAATTCTTGTTTTTCTTTTTGTCTAGTGGCCTTTTGCTCTTCGGTCACATCTCGCCATTTAACCAACAACGAATCGGCGCCACCGCTTACAAAATGTGATTCATCCGTTGTAACGGCCATTGTCCAAATTCGGCCATCATGCTTTTCCAATGTGCTTATACCTAGAAAAGAATGGAATAAATGGAAATTAATCAATAAGTAATGGAAGTACTGGAAACAAATGATGATAAAATATATACTTACATTCCGAACTTTTGATGTTCCATAGTTTAATCAGACCATCCGAACCGGCCGATAGAATTTGCATGCCTTGGCTCAAGAATTCGGCTCGCATCACCGAACTGTCATGACCTTCAAATGATTTCAAACACGACATATCGGTTAAAGACCACAGTTTAATTGTACAATCACCGGATGTAGTCATTAAGACTTGATCGACGGGTGAAAATCGTGCACACCAAATGCCACGACGATGACCACGCAATACGCCCAACAACGATAAATTATTTAGGCTCCACAATTTGGCCGTCTTATCTTGTGACGTTGTCGCAATCATTTTATCGTTCGGTGAGATTGTGATACAATTTACATCTTCTTTGTGCGCAATTTCCGTTGCGATGCAATTCAAATTGATTGTTTCATTTGAATCGAGCTCTTTTGGTAATTTCCATACTTTAATGCATGTGTCTTGACTCACCGAAGCAAATGTTTGATGCGATATTTTGCCAAATGCAACTGAACCAACGGCTTTTGTGTGTTTTCTACCGATGCCAATACAGCGAATTGAAAAATCACTTGGATTTATCTCCCACAAACGAATTGTATTATCTTTTCCAGCGGACAGAAGGAAATTACGCAACGAAGCCAACGATAGAACGATATCAGTGTGACCTTTTAAAATTTTACAATTCATATCAAGTGTGTCGTATATTTTGATATCAGCGCTATTGGTAGCAACTGCTAGGTATCGATCCTTTTTACCAACAAATACCGTATCCAAAATCTCAGCACTGAATCCGATAAATTGTTTTGTACAATAAAATGTGCTGGAATTATGGATCATAATGTTATGGTCGGCACTGACAACGGCAAATTGCGACACATTTTTGTTATACAACATTTGTGTTATGGCCAATCCTTCTGTTTCATTTGCCTTTGACACCAAACTATTTTGTTGTTCATAGATTAATCGTGCTGTATTCATTTCCCACACCTTAATTAAACCACCCTCGCCGGCCGATGCGGCATAGATTTTATCGTCGTCCAATTTAACGCTGGTCGGCAATTTGATGGCATTGGGCAGTACAATGGCACTTTCGATTGTTTCGTACACAGGCACAACACGAACTTGTTGATACTTTTCCAAATCCCATAGAATTAAGACTTTATCTCTACTTCCAGATACCATGCATTTTCCGTCTGAACTGAATGAAAGAGATGTTACTTTTGTCATGTGGCCATTCAATGAGCACACCAATTGACGTGTTTCAAAGTTCCATCCATTGATTTTATTATCATTTCCAGCGGCAAACACTGTTCGATTCAACGATTGTGGATTGAATTTTAGTACACTTAAAACACCAACACATCCTCTCAAACTGCCGACACATGTTTTACGCTGATGATCCCAAATACGAACAGACGAATCGGCACCACCGCTTGCAATGTGCGTTGCATTTGTGTTAAAATCCAGCATCGGAATCGGACCATTGTGTGCTGATTTCCATGTTTTAATCAGGGTGCCATCGTTGGTTTGCCATAATTTAATCAAACTACTTCGATGTGCAGTGCATAATAGTTCGTCATCGTCACTCAAAGCAAATGTATAAATCGCATCTTCAACAACATTTCCTTCGTTGACTTGTTCACCAATCGATTGAATCACCTTATTATCAGCCACCGAAATCACATTGATTCTCTCTTGGTCTTGGCAATAAATCTTTTCCGCATTTGATGTCCATTTAACCAAACCACCGGTATAAATTGCACCATATTCTGCGTCCACTTCAAACCTGTTTATTGAAGAAAAACAAAACACTTATATTTTCTGTTGATTTTAATGAATTGTTCCATTTTCTGCAGAAAACACTTACGTTTCTTTGACTTTATGCTTGCTGGCCATTTTTCTTAATGTCGGTTTTCTTCCAATTTTATTCCTTTGAAATTTACAGAATGTTTACACCACACACAGCAAAAGCTAAATATTATACCACCACGTGCAAGTGTCAAAAGCGACGTTTTCGTCTTACAATGTCATTCACAGTGACAGTAATTTGACGTTTCGATGACGTTTTCGATTGTGAATTGACCACAAACTGAACGATTATATTTTTGGTTAAATTTCCACAGACGTAAAAAATATAAAAACAATGTTTCGATTTGTTGGAGCTCGATATTTGAAACTAAATTTACCGTCGACACAAAAATTTGAATGTGTTCGCAAAATATATGTAAATTCTTGTGTGCAGTTGAATAAGTCAAAAGCCGAAGAGTTAGCAGAAAGAAAGCGACGAGACGAAGAATTTAGATGGACCAGACTATATGTCTTCAATGATATGAAATGGTATTCTATCGTAACGAAGCTAAAACTCTATTCATATGTTTCAACTCTAGTCTTAACCCCAGTGGCGTATTTAATTCAATTGTCTGAAAAAATTCCAGACGTTTCAGCAGTGCCTTGTTTGGCAATTGGTATGTTTGTTCTTTGACTTCAAATATTTCCCACGCAAAACACTATTGATATGTTGTTGTTTTCATTCAAAGGTCTCACTAGCGGCATGATTTTGACGGCATACAGCAAAACGCTGGCGAATACAGTTGGGATAGTGTATATATGTGGCCAAAATAAAAACCTGCGAATAGCCTATATCGATTTTTGGGGTAAACAATTATTTGTCGAAACAACTGTTGATGAAGTACGCAAATGTCAAAAAAGCCCGGTAAAATTTGGCCTATACAAAACGATACAAGTAATCAATGGCAATGAGAAAATATCGCTGAAAATTCCATGGAAAAATGTTGAAACAACAAATACTAAACTATTTCGGCACTTGTTCGGAAAGTAAAAACCTGATAAAAAAAACCTAGTTGATTGAATAAAAATGTTTTTGAGATACAGAAATTCTATTTACGATTTTATTTATTTCTTATTGAATTATACAAAAATGAATCTAGCCACATGACACCATTTGAACTATTAAACCCATCTGTAGTGAGCGTACGCACGATTGGCTTCGCAAGATTTGTGTAAATCTTGTTTTCGTTTCACGACACGTCCCGTATTGTTGGCTGCGTCCAGAATTTCCCATGCAAGTTTGTCATGAAAACGAACATTGAAGGCCTTATCGGTGCCAGCCTCTATTAACCATTTCATTGAATAAAAATATGATTTATTTTCTGTAATCGGAACGGGAACATTGTAATTGGTGCCACCACGTCTAACAGTAACTAGTTGCATCACTGGGCGACAACTTTCAACGGCATTGCGAAGTATAACGCGCGGATTCAATTCAATTGCTTCACGTTCTTCGTCGTCTTTGGCCAAATTGTAACGCTCCAACTGATTTCGTTTAATATTTTGAAATACTTTTTCCATTAATCCGCGTGCTAATTCCTTTTTTCCACCTTCCATGATAAAGTTGGTGAATTTATTCACTAGTGGATCGTACAGCAACGATGATGATTCATTTGTTTTGGCCGCTTTAATTTTTTTGTGTGTGAGAGAATCGAACCGATTTTCATCTTTCAAACGTTTTATATCATCCTTTTTTATGGTCGGTTCAATGAAATCAGGAGAATACATAGACATCCATCGAAATGGTGTTATATGCGGCTTGCTATAATAAAATAACGTTGTCTTTAAGAAAATACCACATTTGTTGATAATTTTTTTATAAAATACTCACACAACAACATTTACAACATTGAAATTAATCAATTTTCGTAACATTTTTCCAGAAAAACTTCTTCCACAACTCGAATTTGACTTTGAAGGTTAGAAAAATAATAATAAAAAAAATTGATTGACTTTTCTTAGCAGACGAATGTCTGATGAATGAATAACTAACTTCACGGTGGTTTTGAATACATTGTATCATTTTTTAACGTTTTTGGCGAGTTTTTCAAATCGTTAAAATTCTGATGTTTTTTTTTTCAACTTTTTCTTCCTTTAAGTGTTCTGCAAAAATGGTTGCAATGTCTACGAAAATACGTTTTTAATTATTTATTTTAAAATTTTAAACTTTGATGAACTTTGAACGGTTGCAACATTTTTGGATTACTAAAAATTGTCAACTTCGAACCTTTAGTTTAGTCCAATAAAATTGCCTTAGATTAGGTATGTTCTTCATTCCAAGAATTTGGTGGTCAGGTAGAAGAACCAAATTATATAACCCAAAGGTTAAAAAACACTCGCACCTGTTCTATTGTTTGAACCCCCTAATTACTAATTAAGAATCGTAATGAGTAAACATCTGTTTTTATCAGGAAAAATGGTTATTTATGAATTACTTCACAGAGTTGGTAATTTTTTTTTCAACAAATAGTCTCTTGTATCAAATCTATTTTTTTTTTTGTTTTTTTTTTTTTTTTTTTTATGATAACATGAAAGCAAAGCAAATAAAACAATTTTTCAAAAGAATTACTGATCATTTTTCAAGTACTTTTCCATGCACCCAAATAATAATTTTCTTCCATTGAATTCAAATGCAAAAAAAAAATCATGTGAGTATGCTTTAAAGCGTGGGTAACGTTGTATGTAATATACTTCTATGGAAGGGAAAAAATTACCAAAAATGTTGAATGTATATTTTTGTCTCTTTCTTTCAGATGTAAATTCAGTTCAAAAATGGTTAAATAGAAAGAGCACACACTAATGACCATTTCGTCATTAGGGCGATATATGCTAACCAATACATATTTGCATTCTCTCACTCTTCTACTAATTTCACACATAAACAATAGATTTTGCGTTAATTACATAATCATTAAGCATGTATGGATATTGTCACTACCTGTATTATGTATATTATGTACAGTAATTTGAAGTTAGCAAGTAGTAAGCATTTATATCTGTTGAAATGGTACCGCCCCAAAAAAGGGTATAAAAACAGCAACCATTTCAAAAATTCTTCAGTTTATTTTGGAAACCCAAACATTCAACAACTTCTAAAGTTATCTTAAAAACTAAATGTTTTTCAACAAAAATTATTAAATTTTGCCACAAGTACGGAGTTTTTTAAAGCATATTTTTGAATAAAATAACGTTTTAAGCAAAAAAGTTAAATAATTAGTCAACAAAGAATATCAAACATATTCAAGAAAATTCAACAATAACGACGAAGTGAAAAAAGTATTTAAAAATCTCGAAAAAATGTCTCAATTCAAAAGTTCAGAAGTTAAAGTAGTTGCAGCTGAAAATCAACTACGATCAACTCTTGGACATCAATCAGAACTAGCTACTGAAGGTGACAAACAACCGAACGAGTTGAAAAAGGTAATATTTTTTTTATTCTTAGAAAATAAGATGTTTAAGTCACATCCGACATACATTTATTAAATTTTGTTGATTCAACATTGATCAGATTTCTTCCAAAAAAAGTATGTTTCCAGTGACTCAATTATTTCTTAATTACTTGTGAAACACTTTTCTTTATCAAAGTACATAATCTCACCAAGTGTGAATAAATTTCAATCCAAATTATAATATTTTAATAATAATGTTTTTTTTTTTAATTTTCAGGATCACGACGGTTTTGTTATGCCAGTAGTGGTTGGAGCAAAATGTATGGAACCAATCAACGATGAAGCAAGGAAGTTAGAGAACGCAACTAATACTGTTCCTTCATATAAGATGGATGCAACTCTACGATCAATATTGGAAACGGCAGAAGAAGTAATCCTGAATCCGGCAAAACGACGAAGACTTGATGATAACGGTGCTTTTCTTCTATGTAGACAGGATACAACTCTTAACCTGATACAATATTCTACGGACGGAGAAAATGATGACGGTGCCTGTTTATACAACCAGGATTCATCTAACAACCCAACAGTGAATTTCTTTGATGATGATGACGATGAAGATGAAGATGATGACTTCCTGGACGATTACATAGCCGATGGCATTGAAGCTGTAGGTTTATTTAGACAGGATGCAACTATCGGATCGTTGCAGAATCTACTACAGACTGCAGCAAATAAAGATAACGATACCGCCATCTGCGTATCTAAAGAGCAGGATACGGCTGTCAGTCCAACACAGGATACTATCGATGAAGATGACAATGGTGCTGTCGGTTTGGTCAAGCAGGATACAACGCTCGGATCAATCCCGAACACAACAGATGGTGATGATAATGGTGTCGTCTACCTATCCAAACAGGATACCCCTCGCATTCTAGAAGAGGATTTCAGCAATGATGATGACGATGATGATGGTGGCGCTGTTTCGTTGTTTAAACAGGATGCAACATTAACACTGGATTCTTTAAAACAACCTGAATTACAAAAACCGGCCACTAAAGAATGGTGTAAATTTTCGAATGTTTTCATCAAGAAAATCGGTCCGATCATTCAATCCGGAAAAGTACGCCATTCCCGAGCATCTGGCTGGGTATATGACAAGGACTATCTCCATAATTCTTCAACACCAATGGACAATCGACGTCGCGCCGCTGAACGTTTGATGCAATCATCATTGCTATTCTTGGAAAAATTGGACGAAATGAACGCAACACAACCAAAAAAGAAGTACAAAAAATTCTCCGAACTTAAGTTCAAAAATGGTGTCCAATGTGTCGATAGAAGACTATATGCTGTCCACAAAAGACGACGAGAACAACATTGATGACTATAGTTCGAATTTGAAATTAATCGATCTTAATATTGTACAGAATTAGTTTTATTTCGAAAAAAAAATGTATATAATTTTTGAAGACCACAAAAAAGGAAATAAAATTAAACAAAAATATAAATAAACGTCTTTTTAAAATATTTTTTTCAGCACGGCAAAAACCACGGGGTAGATAAATGTTCAAAATGTAGAATCCAATTAGTTTTGAAGAATATACTTCATTTCTCGAATACATTATGATTCGGTGAATCTTCAAGTTTAAGCCATGATTTCCATGATAACGTGATTCCAAGATGGCATACAAACGTATTGAACTACACAAACGAAGAATATTTGATAATATAGGCGATTACATCACTATTCAGAGATTACGAATACATATGTCTACCCCCATTTAGCTTGTTTAGAAAATAGAGCGAAATATACAAAAAACAACTCAATCATTAGACAATTGTAGATATCGCACTTGCAAAAAAAGAAGCAGTGCGTTTTTGGGATGATTAGATGCATGTTATATTATATAGAGCATTCGGTAATGTACAGCATGCATCGAATAAGTTTGTTTGGTCGTATTTATGGATCCCACACAATACCAAAATCGAATTAAACAAAAGAATTAGCAACATATTCCTTGCGCATCATATCTTATTGAATACTGTCCGGTCTTCAAAAACAAAAAATCATTTAATAAGCGAAATTATTTGATTAGCTGTAAGCTTCTGAGCGTTACATTCTATTCCGCAGCATTGATTTTATACGAGTGACGTGTGTAAATCAAAGAATGAACATCTTGACAAGTAGACAAAAATGTAATGATGAATAGAGACAGCTCGCGGAATCCGCATTCAATCCACTTTGACAAGCGACAATGGTGTGGATGAAATACGCCGTTGGAAAGGCGTTTCGTGTGCACATGTTGTAACTATATTGGATATTCCACAGTTGGTTTGTATCACGCTACGAACATTTTTCATTATCTATGTGGATTCAATATCAATTTATAACTGCATTGGAAAATGGCACTTTGTCTCAGTATGTTATCAAATCGCGTAACGTTCGCATGTGTCTGGAGTGTTGCTCTGTGAAATTCCATTCTTCGTGAACTAACACGATTTTTCTACAAACAAATATTTCAAAAACGATTGTCGTTGTTGCCTTTTTTGTAATTATTACATAGTGAAATCAACCTCGAAAATGGATGCAATTAAGGATATGATTGCATTGATATTTTCTTCGCACGGTGAATGTGGGCGAAAATTTCTTACATTTGTCGTTTATATGACAACATTGGTTTGTTAATTTACCTACTCGAATTTCAAACATATTTTCTTCTGAAATGTGAAGATAATTAACCATTACTAATTTCCAAATAGCTCGACAATGTTCTATTAACGGTTATCGGTAAAATAAATCCATAAACTATCCTCGTTATACAGTGAAATTTAAACAAAAATGATTTTAATTAAAAATTTTAGTGCCCATCCTACCGGATTACCTATCCCAAATCGACCGTGAATCAATTGAAATTCTGAAATACAAAAATCTCTACTTACATTATGTATCAACGATGTTTGGTAAAAATGTTCCATCGCAAAATGTAACAGCAATACCAACAAATTTTCAATTTGATGTTGTGCACGATGAACTATGGAATGACAATAAATTAAACGAGGAAAATGGTGCAGTTGGCATATTGCTCGCCTGCAAAGCTCTGATACAATTGATTTCAACTCCATTTGCTAAATCACTGAGCAATTCATTCGGATATCGTTTTACAATCGTGATTGGAACTTTTGTTTTGTTTTCAGCATCGCTGAGTATGTATTTGATGTCCGTCATCTAATTAATTTTTACTGAACAAATATAAACGGTTTGTTTACAGCTTTTGCAATTGGACAAGGATACTTTTGGCTACTCGTTGCTCGTGGCATGCAAGGATTTGCGTCGGCTTGTATCAGTGTTTGCGGCATGAGCATCATTGCTCAAGTAATTGAATTTTTAGTTTTTTTTTTTTATTTGAAGCTTTATAGTATTGAGTAATTCGATTTTGGTGTGAAACATAATCGATATGTTAGAATTCATTTTCAATTTCTCCGAAAGTTAACGAAACATTGTTCTTGGTAGATTTATCCAGAAGAAAAAATGCGGTCACAAGTGATTGGATTCATTTTGGGTAGCATGGCACTGGGGGTATTGCTTGGATATCCTTTCGGTGGCATTTTGTATGCAATCAGTGGAAAATCAGCACCATTCTATATCATTGCCGTTTTAGCTTTCATTATTTTAGGTGAGTGCAATGTTACAATCAATAACAGTGGCCATAATATTTTTTAAAAATACTTACTGATTGATTGAAATGATAATTACTCTATTCGTGATGTGTATTTGAAAATAGCTCTTCAATTAGCTTTCATTAACGTAAAATGTTGTAAAAGTGAATCAATGGTAAAGGACGGCAATTATATGTATCTTTTGAACGATCCAATTATCTTCAAAATATTTGCGGCAATTTTAATTTCGACAATTGCAATGGCCACTTTAGAGCCATGTTTGCCAATTTGGCTAATGGCAACGTTAAAACCAGAGGTGATTAAAATATGTAATGTTAAAATTCCGTGTATTGAAAAAATCGTCAGAACATCCAAATAATTCAGCAACAGGTTGAACTTTACACGTAGACATTTTTTTGACGGTTTTTTCTCAAATCACGTCTGAATCAGTTACACAGTCTGTTCTATTTACAGAAATGGCAAATCGGAACGGTGTTCATTCCAGATTCAATTGGTTACTTTGTAAGCACAAATTTCTTGGCAGTTTTGGCACATCAAGCCGGTGGTATGCTAACTGCAACAATGGCACTAATGATCGTCGGACTGTCCTGTCTTATGGTAGCTAGAAATTTTCATCAATCCCAATTTACATTTGATTTGCTCTCACCACTTTTCTTTCAACACTTAGATACCGCATGCAAGTTCGATTCCGTCACTTGTTCTACCACATTTTGCGCTTGGCATGGGTAAATCGTGCTTCTTTTGGTTTTTTGCGTGAATAAAAACTGAAAAAAATCTCTATTTTTAGGAATCGGTACGCTTGATGTGGCATTAGTCCCACTCTTGGCATCGATTGTTGACTCCAAGTACATGTACAATGATGAAATAGCATTCAACAGCAGTTTTGGTGGTTCATACGGTGGAATATATGCCATACAACAAATCAGGTTGTTAAAGTGATTGATATGTCTTTCAAATCGAATTTCAACTGTTTTGTGTTTTAATATTTCTCAAAGTGTGAGTTTGGCGTATTTTTTGGGACCATTATTAGGCGGAGAGATTTCACAGTACATTGGTTTCTCGTGGTTGATGTCTTTGATCGGCTTGGCAAATATTTTTTATGCCATTTATCTAATGCAAACGGTATTGTTTGTATTGCAACCGGAGGTTAGTTTGTGGAAAAAAGAGTTCTTGAAAAAACGAGTGTTAAAAATTATTTTTTCTTCTGTATAGGATTATGACGATAAAGAGTCACCAGAAGCGAATAAATTCTTCCTCCGTTTGTGGCCCTCGAATACAACGCTATCGAGCAATTTAAGTTATAAGAGATTTTATGACGCTGTGGATAAGCCTCAGCACTAGATTCAAACGTGACGCGAAAAAAAAGTGCACTATACTAGATGGCAAAAGAAACCAAATGCTATATGCACACGCGGTGTATCGCAACGCCAATAAAATTCTCATTTCATGGTTGATTAAACAGTAATTTATTATCAGTTCATCTGCACTCACAACGAATTTTTCTTTTGTACGATATAAAAAGTATGCATCCCAACACAAATGGATTTTCCACATTTTTTCGTTGAAATGGTTTATCAGTTCACGTGAATTTCATTCTGAACAGAAAATAGTGTACATTCTCGGAGTTTTTTTTTTTTGAAAACACACGCTATTTGTTTTACAAATTCTTGGAGATTCTTTTCGAAATTTTCTTCGGTTAAATATTTTATTATTTAGTTATTTTCGGAAAAATATTTCGGTTAAATATCAATTTCATCTCCAAATGAATCCGTGCTTTTTTCGATTAAAAAAGAGCATTTTTTGACACCGAAAAATAAAGAAAACACACCTTTCATACGGTTCCAAGAAGTTTTTTCGACACAAAATTAATTTATCGACAATTAGCAAATAGAAGTCCGAATATCGAATGTAAAGAACTTATTTTCGGTTGCACATTGTCGCTTATTGATAAAATGGAATGTATGCGCCACAATTTGAGTATTGCCCATGCCAATTCCTTGAAACTATAAAAATAATAAACATTTTTACTAACCACAATGTGAGATTAACTATAATAAATTATCCGTTCAATGTTTAGACATTTGCCATGTTATTCTGTTAACTTCTCAATTCTAATTTTATCTCCTAACCAATATTAAGATAAATAAAAGCAAAGCAAATGGAATATAACTGTTCGCTTTTTTTCTCTTTCATCGTTTGCGTTTTATTTGTCGCATTCTCAATGTCGTTGTCATTTACTGTACAAACTTAATCTTGTAGCATTTAATCATGTGTCTCTTTGCTGTCACATTTTTCTTTTAATTTCGACTGTGTGGATGTTATGAATTATGGCTCTGCCATTAAAGGCGTTGATTATCACATTCTCCTCCAGTTTTTTGTTTTTTGAAGTTTTATTAATATGTAGCGTAAGTGCTGCTACCACCAAGTAAGGATGACAAGGGGTGCGTTAGTATAAAAAATCTTTAAGAACATTGTGCTCATTGAAAGATGTACCAGCAAGTGCTATAAAGATTCTTCTCTTTTGCACATATTTTACAGTTTATTTTTATAAATGATGGTTATTTATATCGATTTTAAAAGTTCGATTTCTTAACCTTCCTAACTGAACAGCAATTTAAATTATACTCAAAGGAATAAAAGCAAGAAGGAATACTTTTTAAGACGTAAAAAACGGAGCAAAAAAGTTCCATGGCGTTTTACTACATTTTTCGTGAATTGATACTCAAAATTTTATATTGAAAGATTCGGCCTAGGTGATAAAAATGTCATTTGAAAAATTCTTCCGTTAACGTTAAAGTAAATTAGAACTTTCTTTTTTAGCTGTATTCACATTTCTTTTTCGCTCTCTTCGAAATAATTTTAATTCGTTTCTAAAATTATTGTTACTCAGTTTTATTACTTTCCCCACACTGATGTTGTGGCATATATATGTGTCCGTGTGCGGATTTCTTCCATTTTTCCAACGCATTACTGTTGCCGTTGATTTTGGCTAAATGTTGTTTTACCAATGTAAAAGTTGATTAAGCTATAAAAAAGGTCTATAAAATTGTACGCAAGTGGTGCGCGCACACGCAAAATGAAAACCGAGTGTTGTCTATATTTATTTTTCATCGTTCATTGTATGCATTAATAAAAATAGGGAAAAAACGACGATGGAATTGAAAAATCGAGAAAGAGCAATGTAAATGAGAAGAGGTAAGTGAAAAATAAAGGCAACGATAAACCGTTTTGTACTTGTCATTGCCGGCAAAAGAAAAGTCGAAAGATAGAAGCCATTTTATCGTCACATGTCAACGGAATTGTTGTTTGTTTTTGTGATGAACAGGGCGAACGACAAATCGACTGCTTGGAGTCAGTTAGCGGCGCATACATGAAAAATGGAGCCAATCTTTGGTTGAAGATAAACATACAAATCAAATTTAAAGCCTTTTGTGCGGTCCATGCATGTGATGCAATTAGATAGACGATTCTTTTCATACTTTTCATTCACCCATTCGAAATTACACCACATTAACTGCACATATTTTATTGTTAATAACTCGTGGTACACGTTTTGATGTAAACAGATATCCTATAGGCAATATCTTTACATTTATAAATTCGTTTGCATGCTCGACCGCGCGTAGTTTTATAGAGAGAAAAAAATTGGTAGCGAAATAAATTTATGCAAACAATGTAATTTTTGTGAGATTGCCAAGCAATCGGTTAAATATATAACAACAGGATCGACGAGAAGATTGACGAAAGAGCGAAAGAGTAAGTGTCGAAAAATCGTAAACATTGATGTTATATTGCTTGAAAATTTCGGCTAACTGCTTTGAGTGATCGTAAACATGGGTGATAATGAGAATCAATTTATAGCTCGAAAAGAAAGAAAAAGTACAAAAGCTGACATGCAGTGGTTTTGCTTGTACGGTTTTGTCGCTCTTATTTGGAGAATAAAATTTGTCGCAGGAAATCACAAATCGGTGTGAAATAAAACGTAAATGTCGCATTCAATTCAGACAGTCACATTTCAGTCTTTTTATCCGGGATTTTTACTATCAACAAATTGTCGTCACCATTTTTAATTGAAAGTGTAATATTGTTGCGCGTTCAGTTTTTACGATCACACAAAACTAAATCTAAACCATCTGCACATTTTATTATTATCACTTAAGAGTAACTATAAAAGCGGCACATTTTGAGCGACGAGCGAGCGCTCACGCTTTCGACGCTTTTCTTCTTTGTCCGAGGTATTAGTTTGATGTCGCTTTTCATTCATCCTTCTCTTTTTATTTTTGAATTTTCATTAATTGCTATGTCTTGTTGTTGGCGTTTTTGTGTTTTTTTTGGTTGCACTGTCACATCATACACATTACTGTTTGTGTGTATACTTTTTTTGTTGTATCTTTTAGTGTTGTTTTCGCTACTTTCGACGCTGTCAACTAAAAACATGAAAATGATCGTGCACAAGCAAAATAAAAGAGAATAAGCGCACGTTCACAGAGTCGCACACATACATGTGTCAACAATTTTGAGATCTCGCTTACATGATCCGGCTTATAAACGGAGATCGCAAAGACACTTAACGATCTCTCTATCTCTATACCAGTAATAATAATAATAATAATATGTCGGAAAAATAAATGTTGTCATTTATATATGAAAAAACGACAATTTTGAATTGCTTTTCCTCTTCTCATATAATATTCAGTAATGCGTAGTTTTCCACTTGATCCGGACACACATCAACTGTGATACACAGGGATATTTTAGAAATCTCTTTGCGTAAAACGATTTGTTTTCATTTCATTTTTGTTGCGCATGTTGAGCGTGTTGGCGAAAGCAATCGAAAGGAAGAGCGAAAGAAAGAGAGAGAGAGAGAGAGAGAGAGAGAGAGAGAGAGAGAGAGAAAAGAGGGAAAGTGTTTTTGTCGCGTGCGTATGACAGTTCGTTTTTGAATGGATTATCGTAAAGACGTCGACGAATTGTCATGTAAACCGAAATCGTATCCGTGCTCGACTCGATCGGCGCATTCACTTCACACTCCAAGCGCCTTCAAGACTATTATGTGCGCACTTCGTTCAATTGCCATTTATCTGTTGGCTGTGTCGCGTCTACTACAAAACCGCACACAACATTTGATGTGCAAACAGATTTTCTATCCTCGTGTCGACCAAACTGAAAATCAACATTTGAAAACTCGATTGTGAGTGCATATCCTTTTGATCACCGCCGCATTCGGAAAAGTGTTGAAAAATTTATCGAATTGAACATATGTAGTGATCAAATTAACGATTTTTTATTGAGTGTAAAATGATTTGGATGTGATTCAAATAGAATGTCATTATTAAATGAATCTAAACAAAATGACAAAGTGAAATTAGCACGAAAAAAGAGAGCATCATCGTAAATACTTCCGTGTTTTTGTGATTATGACAAAATCAGTGTCGAAAAACAATTTCGTAGTGTTGAAGAGAATAAAAAGATTTAATTGTAAATTAGACGCACAAAGTGTCGAAAATAAGCGATTGCATTTACTGAATCATCGATTCAAATCGGGTGCAATAAAACGTCGGAATTGTTCGGTGATTTTCCATAAGCGTTTTGATTTAATTGAATTTATGAACCGACAACTGACAATCGGTGATAATTGTAGTACAAATTATGTATCATCAACGATGGGTGTTTTATCGCCAGCAACAACATCGACATCAAGTTGCAGCAATGAAGAGGATCTATCACATTTACAATCGCTACCATCGTCCACATCGTCCACCGTTGATCATTTTGAACAACACATTTTAGAACCGATCTCGCACACTGTTAACGGCATTCAAATTACAAAACGTCCATGTTTAACATGGGCATGCAAAGCATGCAAGAAAAAAACGGTCACAGTCGATCGTCGAAAAGCTGCCACACTCAGAGAACGACGGAGATTACGAAAAGTCAGTAGAAAGAATATTGTCGTGCAATTCGCTTTTTTTTCTGCATAGATTTTTCTATTTTTGTATTTTGTACACTATTTTAATTGGACGAAATTAACAATTCGGACGATGCTATTCTTAACGAATAACTGTTAATTAGTTCACACTAATTAGGTACTGATTAGGACTTTTATTCTTTTCTCTTTTCCACTTTCAATCGATCCGGTTTATTTTCTCGTAAAATAGGTGAATGAAGCGTTCGAATTGTTAAAACGGTGTACAAGTGCAACGAATTCAAATCAACGACTGCCGAAAGTGGAAATTCTTCGCAATGCCATCGAATACATTGAAAATCTAGAGGATATGTTGCATGTAAGTACTTAAAATGTGAACTTTATGCCATTTGAGTATACTAACACACTCTTTTTACTCGATGGAAGAGAATTTTTTAAAATTTAAATACTCAGTTTGGTCGTTCTGCATTTTCCCTAGGAAGGATATATATTATTCTGTATAGAATTAATTGAAATTGAATTTTATTTTTCCAGCAACATGAAAACGACGTGCAACAGACGATCAATGAAACACAAAGTCTAACGTTAAATAGCAATATTGAGTGTAATACATTTAAGCAAAGTTCAAACAATAATTCAGCATCTCTAAAATATTCGGTAAGTTTTTTTGGCACTCGAAATCATTATAACAAAAGCATTAATTTATTATTCAAATCGTCATTTATTTCTAAATGTGCTTGTCTTGTTCCTTGCAATATTTCAATAGGAGTTTTGGCAACGATCGCCCGTTTTCAAAGACCGATCACACAAGCAAAAAGACGCAAACTATAAAATATTGCCAATTACTGGTAAGAGAAGTAAAAAAAAACAATGATATTATGTGTGTGCCCATTTTATTATGTTCTTTTCATTTCGTCTTCATTTTTTTGATGTGACCGAAAATCGTTGTTGTACAATTTGCTTGAATTCCATTGTGACAGGTTTATCATCGTCAGCCCATGCGAGTGATGGAAATGGCACTGCCAGTCTAGAATATTTAAATTTAATTGTTCAAAGCATCAATTCGAGTACACCAATGTCATCTCCAAACCAACCGCAAACTCTGCTATAACGCTTTGAACGACGCCCAATAAAATTAATCACTTTCTTTTCAAAATCCATATATATTTTCTCATGTTAGAAGAAAATAGAGAGAGAACGATAGCCCGAGATCTCTCTGAGATAGAGAGAGAGAGAGAGAGAGAGAGAGAGAGAGAGAGAGAGTTAGCAAAGTAAGCATCAGCGGCAGTATCATCAGAAGCGGCAATAGACAGCATCATAATAATCATAATTTTCTTAAATGAAGAAAAAAAGAACGGGACAAAAAAAAAATAACGAACAACTCGGGAACTTCTTAGAAGCTAATGATACAAAAATCTATTTTTGGCAACAACTGCAAATAATATATGTCGCACAATATTATAATAAATGTGTGTGCCCGTACTCGACGAGTACGACATCCACGACCGTTGTAGATAGAGAGAAAAATCGGAAAAATGTCACGAAAGAAAAACAAATTGAAGTAAACGGCAATGCATTAGACAAGGCGAAAAATAAAATGATATTTTCTCAGCAAACAAATCGAAAATTGTGAAGAAAGAAGAGAGAATGAGCGAATGAGGGCGAAAGTGTATGTGTGAGAAAGAGAGATGAAAATGAGAAAAAAGAGAGATTGAGTGTGTGACATGCTTGCAAACAAACAAAGAGATACACTTAAATAAACAGAATCAAGAGATCACAGTATCTATTTGAAAACAGAAAAACAGATTGAATTTGTATTCATTATTTTTGTGTTGTTGTTGTTGTACCTTTTTTTTGTCTTGTTCAATTTGACAACGAAATTTCCTTGTCGCTGGTAGCGAATATATGAATTTTTCATTTGACTATACCGCCGTCAAATCGTAGTTGGCAATATTACGCGAGTTTCTTTTTATCGCTCATTGCGTGCTACTCCACTCTTGCCGAACGAAGAAGGAGAGATTGATCTAAGTTTGAACAGCATTTCTCGCGCTCACTCACTTCGCATGTATTCGATTCATGTTACTTTTCCGCACACACCTAGTGTGAAAGGGGAAAGTATTGCAATAGGTCAAAATTTACGAAACCTCAAAAACATGTTTTCTGGACGTTTCTGAGGTCAGAGAACCCGAATCAGGCCGTTTTGAGCATGGTTGTTGTGGGTCGCTTCCACGTCGTACGTCGTACGTCGTACGTCGTACGTCGTACGTCGTACGTCGTACGTTGTCCGCCGTACGCAAAATTTGTCCATCGATTTTCTCACCACCCAGAAAAGTTATTTGAAATCTGACTTCACGGGATGATTGGGGGTCCCCAGGAATAGAAATCATCAGATATTGAGCGACTTTGGTTGATGGAAAAAAATTCCATGCCTGGAGTGATACCTATGAAAAAGAGTCCAATTTTCGTCTAAAAGTCATACTTAATGTAGACTTAAACACTCAAAAATATGTATTGGGGGGTTTTTTGGCACGAGAAAACCGAATCCGACGTTAGTTTTGAGATACAATCAATTTTTAATACAGTTTCCTTGAAAAAATCACAAAAAATTTGGATTTTTGTATGGGAGCCTGTATGCTACCTTAATGACGTGAAACTTTGCACAGACCATTTTTTACACAAAAGTATAACATTCTGAAAATTTGAAGAGATTTCAATTAAAATTAGGGGTACCTCCCATACAAAATTTTCAATTGGCTCAAAAACGAATATTTTGTATGGGAGGTACTCTTGATTTTGGTTGAAATTTCTCCAAACCCTCCGAATGTTATTTGTGAAAAAAATAACCTGTGCAAAGTTTCACGCCATTAAGGTAGCATACAGACATGGCTCCCATACAAAAATCCAAATCTGTTGTGACTTTAGTTATGAAAAGTGTTTCAAAAATAATCTTTATGGCAAAATTAACGTCAGACATATTTTTTATAGTATTTTGTTAGAAAATAGAATACTTTCAAATGTCGTACAAATGGGTTCATCATGAAAGTGTGAAAAATCTTTTCTCGGGTACTTCTGCTATTAAATTAAAGAATATTTCGTTGCCAAAGTTGAAAAATATTTTTTGGTCTCGAACTTTACGCCGCTTGAAAGACTTGAAGAATCGAGCAAATATTATTTTGAACTTTCTTAATAAAATACGCAACTACCACCGTGCGGAAAAGTTCGTCTTACTCCCGTAAGACTCTTTATTTTCGTTCATAAATGAACCGAGTATTTTTGTAGCATTGCATGCCTCCGCGCATATTAGAGTTGAATTCTTAAGAGAGCGTGAAAGGGCTTTATTATTTTTAGACGATTATGCATTGTATCACATACAATATGGATCGAATTGTATAATATGCTTACATTTGTATGACTATTTTTTTGCGTTCTACTCAAAATCACATTCGATGTCATACATTATGGGTTAATTTCAGAGATCATTAACAATATCTAATTTATGTCGTTTGAATGAAAATGCGCATAATTTTTTTGAAATCTTGAATTTAGTGACTCTCTTGAGGTTTTATTATCCTTTTTTTATTTATTTTTAAAGAATCCGTAGGTTAAATATGGCAAAGGATCTTGCATTCACATTGCCTACTTCGGTCTCTAACTTACACTACATATGGTTCTGGTGCATATATGCAACAATTGTAAACAATTATAACAATCATTCAAATACAAACACAGTCTTAAACGTATTTTCAACTACAAAAAAAATGATCATTATCTTAGTCTCTGGTCGGAATTATCGTGGAAAGGCAAACTTACAAGGCATCCAATTGTAATTTAATTGTTAACGTATAACCTAAGGTCAATATTTATTTTTATTTTATTTTTGTCAAATTAAATATAAGTGCATAAGAAGCCACAATTAAATGCTATCTAATCAATTAAAAACTAGCGTTATTCTATCAATATCTGAAGGCTATTTACATTTTCTTTTATTTATTCGACGATGCAGTATGTCTTGATATGCAATCCATTTAGTCTAATGAATGAATTCTAAACAATTCGAACGAGATCAAGAAGGTTTGCAATAGGTGTTATCGTTTAGTTTTCGGTATATTCTACAGTGAAATCGTCCAATTATTCACCGTCCGACATCATTGTTGTCAAATTTGTTGTGTGAACTCATTGTTGGTGCAACGGCGACCTTTTAGCACGCTTGTCATGGGTCGTTCACGAATCGGTGGCGATTGTGGATGATGCAATACATTGGGAATTTGTGCATCGGTTCCATTTCGTGTCCAATTGATTGTAGATGCTGAGTGTGTACGACGTGGTGGTATATGGTGCTGGAATATTGGATTCTTTGCACATACTCGTTTGCCCGTTTGCCAACGTCGATGAATGAATTTCATTCGTTCAATTGCAACAATGACCAATGCAACAGCTTTCAATGATGGGAATTTCTTTCGTCGTTGATTCGTGGGCTCTCCATTCATTGCGCACAGTAGTTTGGTTTCATTGTCCTCGTAGGTACCCAGTAAAATCATCAAATACCGTTTCTGATGGATTAGGGCTCGTCTGAAACTCTCTGTTCGCAAATACTTGCTAAACAAATGGTTTGCACGTTCTTCGAGCTCATCACGATCAACACAGAGCAATTCCAAATCACCGACCTTCTTCTGCAACACATGTCGTTCTTCGGTTAGCATCTGTAGTGTTTCTGATAGTTGACGATTTTCACGAACATTTTCACCCAAATTGTCGTTCATTTCTTTCAATTTGGCCAACAGTTGCTGTGGAATTAGTCCACCGGTGACAACATGGCTCTGTTGATATCCGGCCACCAATGATTCGGTTAAACGAGCTTCACGCTGAGCACTACGATCAATATCGGTTTGCAAAATTGATACACGCTCTTGCAATACGTCTCGTTCACGTTCAACGTTTATCAATTTATTCTTCAGTTCTTGGCACGTTGCAATGCTTTGCGTTAATTCGTTTCGTTGCTTTTCACTGCGAATATTTCGACCATTTTCAGCATCTTGCAATTGATTTATTCGAATCTGCAAATTTTCCATTTCACGCGATGAAAGAGTGACTCTGAAAAATTATATAAAATTTGGTTGAATTTTCGTGAAAATTCGTATTCAATGGCAAAACATCACTTACTTTTCTTGAGCATCCTCCAGTTCCTCTTGCAAAGTTTTATTTTCTCGTATGATTCGCTCTAGTTCATCTTTGATTCGTTCACCGTACGATTTTTGTTCGCTAAGTTCTTTTTCGAAACGATTTTTCTCTCGAGCCAATGCCTTTTCTGTGTCGGCGGCTCGTTCTTTTTCCCGTTCCATTTGTGATTTTAGTAATTTTATTTCGTCATTTTGACATTTAAGTAGCTCCTGATCAGATTCACTGCCTTTCGCCAAGCGTCTGGGACTTGATATTGGCGATTCGTTCAATGATAAATTGCTGGCACTCAATTTGGCTCGTTCAAACTGATGCTCAAGCATCTTTGTTGATAGTTTCGATGTTTTGTTTCGCTCTTCTTCGAGCAATTTATTCAGGTCATTTTGACTATCCATGGCCTCTTCCAAGCGTCTCGACAACACATCAATGAAATCGGAGTCTTTTTGACGAATATCAGAAAAGTGTGCCCGTTGTGATTCAAACGAATTGCGTAACTTTTCGAGTGCTTGTGTCAGCTCACTGTTTTCTGCACGCAGCGTTTCGATTTCGTCGATATTTTCTTCGTTGGAAATGATTTCGTCTTTCTCATCGATTGCCTTCAAAATGCTATTGTCCAATTGTGCCGAGTAATTCAGTTCTTCTTGAACTTTTTCGGTTAGTTCATCGAGGCCGGTGTCATCGATCAACATTTTAATTGGACTGGCCAGTCGTTCAATATTTTGTCTCTGTTTGAGGTCTTCAATCTCCTTTTTGAGTCGATCATTTTCATCGCGATGCGTTTGAATTTCAATTCGAAGCTCTTCAACACTTTTAGCTGTCTTTGAATCGGTCAACACATCGGTTAAATGGAATACTTTCTGTTCGAGTTCTTTGATATCAAGCTGACACTTTTCATATGCAATCATTTTTTCGGTGAGCTCTTGCTCGGTGTCGGCAAGTATATCCTTGATTGCGATAAGCTCTTCGCGTAATTGTTTTGTTTCTGAACCATCGGTTACATCTTTGGTATCTCTTTTTTTGATCAATTCTGAATTTTCACGTCGTAGCCGTTGGATCATTTCCATATTCAATTTCTCCACATCTTTGTTATTATCAAGGTCATTATGCAGTTTTGAAATGAGTTCGTCTTTCATTTTAATGGTATTTTCCATGGAGTTTAATTGCTGTTTGACTACCCCACTATTAGCTCGTTCTTCATGCAGTTGATCGCTAACTTTCTGAAAATCACCGCACTTTTTATCATAATTCCGTGTTGACAACACCAATTCGGCTTCAATTGTTTCGACTTTTGATTGGAGTTCATCGATCTGTACGTGCAACGTATCAATTTCTTTACACAATTGATCTTTTTCTGCATCGAATACTTCTTTTAATTTCTTACTTTCAGCGGTAACATCGTCCACCAATTTGGTTTTATCTTCCAATGATAGTTTCAGATATTCAATTTCCTCTTTCAACTTCGAATCGGTATCACCGTCAAGCGAATTATTTTGTGTGACCGTTGAAAAATGTCCACTAAATAGTGATTGAGTCTGAACGGTGTTTGTGTCAATTGTTGACTTTGAGGTGAAATTGATTTGCCGTGGCTTCAACGGTGGTGTGTTCTCATTGTTGCCGAACATTTTCGTTGGATTCTGAAATACAAACAACATTATTTATAATATGAAATATCAACAAAAGAAATGATTCATTTAAAATGACTCACCAGACTTACAACATTATTTATAATATGAAATATCAACAAAAGAAATGATTCATTTAAAATGACTCACCAGACTTAAACGTGTACCAGTTTCGGACATTTTTCGTATATGATCGCTGTCAATGTAATCGCTAGCCGAATTTTTGGTAAAATATTCGCTGAGTTTTTCTTCGGCTTTGACTAATATTTGACTGTCTCGAAGATCCTTCATTTCTTTTTCCTTCGAGTCTAATTGCTCTTTTAAGTATTCAATTTCGTCGGTTTTGTCTGCCAACATTGTTTCCATTAGATCGGGTAGTGCCACTTTTGTAATCATTTCTGTGCGCATTTTCTCTTTCAAATTTTTATTCTCTTGGTCTCTGGATGCAATGCGTGCCTCCAATTTTTCAACAAATACTTTGCTATATGTGTCATTTCCGTCCGTTATGCAATTGTACGATGCAATTTCAGCCTCTTGTCTGTCAATAATCTCCTTGCTTTGTGCCAAATGACTTTTCAATACGCCAATTTGTTTATCACGCGATGATACCGTTTCCTTTAGCGCATTTACTTCGCCTTGTAGATCGTACACTTTGAGATTCAGATCGGATGTGCCGGCCCGTTGTAGCTCTTCGGCACGTTGTCGTTGCTCATCCAATCGCGATTGAATACTTGTGATACGCACCAGTTGCTCATCCATTTTTTCACGCAGTAAATCTCGTTCATTTTGCAATTCCTAACAATGTGAACGACACAAAAAAAAGAAAGAGAAAAAAAGACACATTAATTGGATACTACTGTTTCAAAAAAGCAAAAAATCGCACAATTCATTCGAAAATACGCACACACGAATTCATATCACAGTCACATAAACACAGATAAATTATGCTAATCAAATTAATTTATTCGAAATATTTTCAAGCATCAATGACTTGATTGCGACTTTTTCGTTGCATTCAAAATTCTCTACTAGGTGGCAAAGTTATACTTTTCGTTAAAATCACTCGAGAAAAAAGGGCGATTGACAGAAAAATTTTGAACATTGTCAGCGAAAAAAGAAATTGAAACGAAATACGTTGTGATTCGTTGACTGTTTTACCCTGAACTGAACGAAATGCGTCAAGAACAACGTCTCTATTATTCTCGCCAAGTTTGTATATCAGACCATATATATCGTATTTAACTGAAACACATCGAATCTGACGGAATTCGTATCGTTTTTTTTTTTTGCGCTCGCGCACACACATGTTTGTATAATTTTAGCATCGTTAGTCGGCGGTTTTATACACATATATACATATACGGGCTATGCACAGCACAGCACAGCTACGAACGAGGCGCTCGTTCATTTGATTCAAACAACATTGAACGATGTTGATGATGATGATGAACGGCAACGAGAGCACATAGCGCGACCGCGGAAATCTCTAATGAAATTCAACGAACATCGAGCTCCAGACGAGAACACTCACAAAAACTATTTCACCCGAATGGCCTATGTCAACGTTCGCATCGCTTTATCGGAATGCGTTCCACTCAAAATTGAACAATCAACATTTTATGTGCGGTCATTTTTCAATTTGCATTCAATTCATCGTTTCATTTATTCAATGTATAACGTACAAATGATTCATATGTCATTTGTTTTTATTTTGTTCGTAATCGGTTTTTTTACCAGTATCAATTCGAGCGATATTATCACATTTTCATCGCATCTAGTCATATTGGAACACTAAGAATGTGGTTTTACGATTAAAACCACTATGGAAATATGATCAACTTATTATGTCACAAAGTGAAGCTTCTATTGTGCCATATTGATTTAGTATACTGTGATTTTTAAAATGTGTTTACTTTATTCGAGCTCTTTAAAACTACGTATCACGTGCTGAAAGCATATATTTTATTTTCATCTGTTCAATAAAAGACAAGGCGAAGGCAGAACAGCATAGAAGTATAGAAAACGAGAATGACAGAGAAAGGCGAAAATATAAAGAAAAGGCGATACATAAGGCGTGTGAGGAAAACAAAATTATTTCTCTGACCTTCTGTTGTGTATCTCAATTTTATGATGTGCTATTATATTTGATACTGTATGCAATCCATTGTCAGTCGTTGTTTTGCGTATTAAAAAAAATTAAAACATGAACCGTTAACGGAGCAAAGCAAAACGTGCTTCGAATATAATTTCATGCACAATAACGTCTGTTCATTGAATGATCTCTTCCCTCTTTTGAAATTTGATGAACTATGCTAAGAATGAAAAAAATATATGTCGATTCCACATCGTTTTTATCTGTCCCTTTCTCATCACTGTAACTGTGGCTAACTGTCGATGTATGCAAACATATGACTATTATGATTGAATAGAGCATGCATGTTGTTGATGAACTTTGTATTGCAAACGTTTGCTCTTTAAATATATTTCGACTTAAAGTTTATTGTGTATAAGTAGTAAACAGTGCAGAGTTCAAATTGACACTTTAACCGACTAATTCGGTTAAACACATTCGAAATTATGTGATACGGGTGTGTTCATTTCGAATGAAAAAAAAGCGACCATTATGATTTGTAACTAAAAATATACGCCACGATTAATATAAAGTGTACCAACTCACCATATAGCTTGTGTGCATTGCTTTGATCTGCATTTCCAGGTCTCGCACCAGTTTGATAGCTGCCTCTTCAACTTTTGAGTGTTTTTGTAGTTTCTCAATTATTCGACTGATTTGGTCGACCGGAAACATTGGATCCTTGGCCAAATACTTGAAATATCGCGGTGATATGGCTGCATCAAGATTATTGGCGCTGCCTCTCACTGAAACATCTTCACTTGGACTGCTGCACGTCGTCACTGTGCCAGTTCCAACGTGAATCGATTCCAATAGATTGATTTTGCGATCGAGATTATCTTCGATTTCACGCAAATGCTGTGCAATACGTTCTATTGCCGCACTTTGATCAGCGTTTGGTTGTAAACTCTCCAATTGCTCTTCTAATTGCAAAATCTTTTCTTCGTACGTTGGCGCAATCTCTGATTGTGACAGTAAACTTTTCATTTCGGTTTGCAGTGATTCGTTTGTTGTCTTTTGGCAATCGATATCATTTTCTAACGCTTTCACCATATTGTCTTTTTCCTTAATTTGCTTTTCGAGTTCAACGATTATTTCGCGCAGATCGTAGATTTTGTTGATCGATTCTTTGAGATCGGTTTGAAGGCCGGCGTTTGTCTTCTTATTTGAATTCAATGCGGCTTCCAACTCTTGAACTTGTTGATGTAGTACTTCACTCTGTGGATTGATTTGGAATAAACAAAAATGATATCAAGAGTAATCAATACAAAGGTGGTATAGCACATTCCGGACTCCATACTCTCAAAATCTACACGTTTACTACAGCAAACTAATTCAATAAGTAACACTAATTTGCAAATTTCGAGGTATGGAGCCCGTTGCATTAATAACTGCAAAGCAAAAACTGTAAACAGAAAATATTTTAATCGCATACATTTGTAGTTTTGGGGCCAAACCGATTAGTCAAGAAACTTAGAACAAAAGGTTCAACTCTACTCTTAGAGTGCTAAGTTAATTTTGTGTAATAAGAAAAATAAGATTAAAAAAGCAAATCTAGGAGGGTTTGTGTTTAGTGTATTGGGTATTTTTGTTGCTGTTGTCAATTGTCAAAGGTGTTCTACGGTGTAAGCTATAGGGGAGTGCAATTTTGATCTAATAAGAATTGTATTCCGCCACATTTAATCAATGTGTCTACGTTTCTAAGAACACGGTAAATCCAACAGTCTTAGGTGCTGAGTGAACATACCTCCTTGGCAATATTATCGTATTTAAGACGTTCCTTATCTACATCGCGCAATTTAGATTCGAGTTTTTCGATTTCTTTGATAAAAACATCGCGTTCCATGTCCCATTCGGCTGCCTGCTTTTCCCGAAATTCATTGTTTTGTTTCCGTTCATTATAGGCGGCATCAATCTAAATCAATTGGTTTTGTTTTGGATTTGAGGTGGGATTTTCTTTAAAAATGACTTTATTCCTATGCTTAGTTTTAAACATCACATTGTGCGTTGATTGTATGCGGTTTTCGTGCAAAATGATGTGAAATACCAAAGAAAAATGAACAATTCCCTGATTTAATCATGAAAAATCATGCAATGACACCCTAAATTTAAAGCGTTTTAAGATTTTCATTGATGGACCCTGAATCATTTTAGCTAATGTAGCTAAGATTTGCTATTACATAACGGCCAAGCGGGAATATGTGTCAAATATATGTGACAACATTCCAGAATAAGACAATGTGAACTTTGTATGGCGATAAAATAAAAGATTCTCATGCAATGAGAATGGTATGTATGAAATTATTGGGAATTTTTTTTAAATGGAAATGATGCAAAGCAACTAATCTTACCTGTGCTTGAAGGTCTTTCATTTTCTCTTTGTCTTCTTCGACGTGTCGATCGCATTCACGACAGAAGTCTTCGAGCAACTGTGACACATCCGATGTATTCGTATCGTTAAAGTACTGTTTGGCACGTTCTTGAAGTGACGTAAAAGATGTGGCCGCTTTTTTAGTCGGATGCCGAACTGGCGATCTCAATTGACTTATTCCATATCTGCAAATTGCGTTCAAGTTCCTTTGTATTTTCTCTGTTTTATAAATATTGTGTTTAAAATAAAATACAAACCCTTCGCTGAGCTCTTCGCTCTGGCTATCCATATAGTTGTTGAGTTTTTGTGTTAGTTCTTGTTGTATTTTCAATGATTCGGCCAATTTCTTTTCGATCTCTTGATTTTTACTTTCAGCCATGACCAGTTGATTTTTCAAATCGTTCAAATTGGAATGCGACATAGTTTGGCGCTCTTTTTTATCGAATATGGCCGGTAGACTGACTCGTTGTTTTTGGTCCACAATTAAATCATCTTTGGCCATTTTCAAGCCATCTTCGTCTTCATGTGACTTTTGTGCTTCATCAATTTCACGGTTGTCAGTGTCACGATTTTCCAACATTTTCTTTGATGCATGCAACAATGAATCGGCCTCAAGTTTTAATTTTTCCAGACACTCATTCAAATCGAATTGTTTCCAAATGCTTGAACTGAGACTATCGGCATTGTCACTTTTCTCGTCAACAAAGCTCAGAAGTGATGGATCTTCGATCAATGATAAAATGCCAGTGACATCTGGTACAAGCGAAAGACGATTTGCAATCGATGAACATGTCGACTGATTTAAATCGAGTTCAATGGTTGGTGATTCGGCACGCGTTTTGGACGGCGAAAATTGTGTTTGTTGTAAAATTCCATACTTGTTGAGTTCATCGACTAACGTCGCATTCAAATCAGTTTCACAAACCGAAACACATTTGGCCAATTCATACAATAAATGGCGGAACGTTTTACATAGCTCGCGCAGATTATCACTATGAAAAATATGATGGAATTGATTTTTATTTAAACAATATGTTGAGAATTGAATTTTATTTGTTTTAATTACCGTTCCGATTCACATTTCTCCAAACCTCTTCCATTGTCAAAGTCAGTATGCCGCTTGACTTTACGATCCAATTGCCGTTGGTGATCATTTTTCAAACGAGACATCTAATCAAAATGAAAGCATTTTTTTGAATAAATATTGTGGTATCGAATTAATGTGTCCATTGAACTTACTTCTTCTTCATGCTTTATCTGCAGTTGTGCGATTTCCAATTGACTTTTAGCGGTGAATTTTTCACGAAGAAGTATCAACTCGGGTGGCCAACGAGACTCATCTGAGATTGGTTCCGATAAAAGAGTCTTTCGAATAAAACAAAAAAGTAAACATGAAATTTTATATTTAAACTGATGAAAAATGAAAATTATATAAATATGGTTAAAAAAAATCACAAAACACACACTGATATTATATACTCGTTATTGATTTTTTTAAAAATACAAATGCCAAAATTTTTGTTTTCAGGTTAGTTTACAAACAAATTATGTTTTTTTATACTTCTATGCTAAAGGTTGAAGACATTTTCCACAAATTATGAGAAATTTAAAAATATCGTTTGAGATAAACGTATGTGTTCAACGTATTTTTATTTGTTTCATTAGTGAGATTCCGAATGAATTATGCACGTTCACTTGACATCTATTTGATTTATTCGATTTTGGTGTTGACGTTTATACAACTATTTCAAGACTAACGTTTAGAAATGATATTAGCTACCAGCTTGGCATAAGCGATGCTTATTTTGAAGAGTGGGGTGAAAAGACTGTAATGCAAAAAGTACGAAAACATATGTGCCATTCGTTTGGGTCCTTTGACTTGCCAAGAGTCCAATGCCAACATTTATGAAATCTATTGAAATGTTCAATGAGTTTTTCTATTAATAAGAAATTTGGACACATTTGACCTTCTGACCGTCGAATCTATTTGAAATTTTCGGAAAATATTTGCAAAAAGACATTTCTTTCGCACGTATGAAAGTAAATGGATACCAAATCAAAAAGTAATCGAATATGTATTGAAGTTACAATCTGGATGTTTCTTTTGAGAAAGACATTTCTCTCACATGAATCTGATTATGCTGACTCTATAGAGCCCAACTCTATAATAAAACATTATATTAAATCGTCTGAAGGCACTTGAGGCAAGTACTTGGGATTCAGCTCTTATTGCGGCTATTTCTAAGATCCGTTCATTCGCTCCTTCTAAAACTATTTAATGAAAAAATCATGCTCCAAACGGAATACATAATCAAACGGCGCCAATCTCTGTGCGACCACACAAAGCGTTCGAAGTGCAATCATAATAACAATGAACAGTAAATACATGTTGATTATTTAATTTCAATATTTGATATTTTCTATGAAATTTTTGATTGTATTCCATCGACCAAAATGCTATACACAGTATGCGCAAATGAGTTTCGAATGATCTTGGTTTTCGTTAAATTTCTTTATGAGTAAAAAAAAGTCATCATTGTTTATTTCATTGCTTAAATCTGATGCACATACATGTGGTGTGCTTTGTGTATGAATGTTCAATGTGTAAACATGTTAAAGTTAAATCTAAATTGGTTCTAAAAATTGCCTAATGTAAACGATTCTATTGTTGTTTATTTGAAAGATTCACACACAGAGAAAAAATGTGGTATTTTTAATTCAATTTAGGTAGATTTAATACAAAATCTACCAACAACGAATTAAATTTACCATTTTTGACATCTCTGAGGCATATTTTTCAAAAGAGACTCAGTTGAATAAGTTTTACCAATTGCTTCATTACATTCACCAAATTCATACGCTAGCGTCATCTATGGTTTCGAAAAGTTGGTAAATGTAATGAAGCAATTGATAAAACTTATTCAACAAATAGTCACTTTTGAAAAATATGCCTCAGAGATGTCAAAAATGGTAAATTTAATTCGTTGTTGGTTGATAATATATTAAATCTACCAAAATTGAATTAAAAATACCACATTTTTTCTTTCTGTGCATATCCGCCTGAAGTTCATTGTATGTTGAGAATTGAATGCATTTTTAACATGTGTTCCACTTCGATTGCACATGTTTACACAAAAAGGGGACCGAGAGATGCGAATTGAATGAAATCAAAATGTATAGGCAGAGAATAGGGCGCGAAAGAAAAATGTGACTTTTTATTTTAATATCTGCAGACAGATGATGTAAGCGTACAAACGCCATAAACGTTGTTTTCAACGTTGCGTAAAAGTATCCAGGATTAAAATCATTCGGCGCATGAACCATATTTAGATTTTGGTTTTCGGTAAGACAAAAAATGTCAACATCGTGAATTTGTTTCAAAGACATAGACTAACTTAGTTTAATGATATTTATGTTAGAGGCCATTATCATAATTTTGTAGCTTAATTGGCTTTTGAAACACTTGAAATAGTGAAGGAGTTACAAATTTTATGAAAACATTGATGTAACACATTTTTCGCTGATGAAATTCACGTTGTAGCATAACGGTTGGTATGTCACCAACGAATAATCAGCATACGCGCTATCGAATAAAACGAACGAATGATTTAAAAAGAACTTGTGCTTATCAAAATTGTCTTCGTTCTATTTTCAGTGAATTCGATGTTTCGCCTTTTTTTTAAACGTTCCAATGAGAAGCATTCTGAAATTACTCAAGAGATAAGAGTAGTTTCGAAGCATTGTTGACTGTACGTATAGAATTAAATAGCTCTATTTCAAATAATGTGTACATACACTTCGGCCTGGGTAATTTTTAACTCGACGACCAACTTCAATTAACACACGCAACAAATAAGCTTCTGTTTTGTTTTCGTCCAGCAAACACATCACCGAATATAAACGCACAAATTCACAAAATGCCAGTTCATTTAATAATTTGATCTAAAATGTTAATCCTCCGATCGATTTAATGGCGTAATTTAATTGCACCGAATTTTTATTGAAAAAACTAAATTTAGAGATAAATTGTTATTAAAGATATAAAAATATCGTTCACTATGAAGCCCTTCGAGACACGCACACAGCAAGAGAGTAAAACTCTGAGTTTTCAATGTTATATATCGATGACGATGAGAGGCATCGGTCTGCTTTGTCTTGGTTATAAGTTGCGATTACTGCTTACTGTTCATTATATTCACATAATCTCAGTGTTTTTATTCATTCTTATCGCAGTTTTTGCTGTTGTCTTGAACTTTACAATGCACAGTTGAATCGTTTGTCGATTTTTCTTCAGTTGTACCATTGATCGACGTTATCTTTTCATATACACGTTTATTCAGTTTCAAAATATTGTTCATTCCGTTTTGCACACTTTTTCGTCACTCGATTTGATTTATAGAATATTTTCTTTGGCAAACGTTACTTTGATCTTTGTAAAAATCAAACTTTGACATTTCAACACATTTTATTACGCATTTCTTGCAAATCTCACAAATCTTTAATTCTTTGTCTCTTTTTTTCCTGTGTAAATTTGTCTATCTTTTTCCCATGTAACTTGATCAAAATCACAAATTTACAAATTTTTGTCAAATTTCCGAGTTCTTCGACAGAAGTCTTTGTATTGTAGACACATTGCCTGTTTTAACAAAGGATTTACTTGAAATCGTCCAATCATAGTCCAAAATACACAAAAGAATTCTATTGAATAAGTAAATGCGTCTAACGATGACGCTAAAATGTAATATGTGTGTGCATCACACAAGCAAATAACGAAGACTAAACGGACTGATTCAGTTATGAATAAACATGCGTCAATTGAATTGACAGACTCTCGTCGTTTTGTGTGCGAGATAGAGATGGAAAGAGAGAAATGAAGAAAGAACGACGGCCGACTTGAATGTGAGAGTAATGTATACATGCGGGATTGCGGGATCAACGCGTTTGGATGCCGTCTGTATTGAATTACATATGTTTTGATCAAATGAAAACGGTAGCAATCCCGACAATGAACACCAACAACAGCGAATGCGAGTACAAACGACAGCCGAAAAGACAGCGAATACAAAATATTCGATACATAAAGTGAACATGTGCTGTTGTGATACATAACAAAGATTGAGCGCTTTATAATTATCAACGGGGAAAATTTTGTTTTCTGAAAAGTCATACAAACAAACTAAGTTAAAGGAAACGTTTGACTCTTTGATTTTCTCACATAAACGTACGTCGTCGCTTTGAATCGAGCGCAGGGGCTCAGCCACAGTTGTAATTTAATCTCTTGGATTTACGTAAGTTACTTAGATGTACTCACTTTAAATGAACGGTGAAATGTTCAGAATTGAAATGCAATCGATCACGAACGTAAGTCAAAATAAACAAGAATTCTATTGAAAATTACTTATCGAATGAAGAAGTTCCATGAAAAAAATGAGCATTGCATTTATTTTTCTGGCCCGACTGGCATCTAAATTTAGAAAGAGTTGTTACATTTGTATTTATGCTTTGGTGCATACAACGACCGTGTAATTACTGTAAGTACATTGTGTTGATCGAAGCGACAATATATTTATGAGCTGAATTAAAGCATATTTGTACAATTGTGTAATGGCACACAATGTATGTGTTGAAAAAATGCATCTACAACCAGAATGATTGTTGATGTTATCGACACGATTTGTAGATAGTGATACTATATCAGCTCGATAGAATTCTTGATTGAAATAAGTTTGAAAAACATCAACGAATGAAAGAGAACCGCGTCATGGTTTGTCAGCGTGAGTCGCGTAATATTTCACATTTGTTGTACTATTAATCAATTGAAACAGCACGTAAATTCTACATCACTCATTACGTTCGGTTGATGGTTTCCACGAATAGATTAACGCACTTAATGAAACCAAATTCCATGCACTCCGAATTGCAACGGATGGGAGTTTTTTTTGTGTTTCTCTCAGCACTTCCCTTCCAAAAATATATCCTGTTGTCGCGAGCAGCGAGATAAAATAATCGAAAACAATGATGTTTTCTTTTAAATTTCGCTTCAACCTCGACCAGAGAAAAACTGCCGTCTCAAATTGCACCCACGAATTAAGGAAGTAAAAATCACTCAATGGATGTGTAATATGAAAAAATGCGATCTTAATTCGATGCACAACTTCACGTGGCCAATGAATTATACAAACTGTTTGTTGAACTAGGTTAGGCATAAAAGAGCCGTTATAACATCGAACAGGAGGTAAGTATTACATTCCGCATTCGTAATGCACAAATATGTGAAAAAAACCAAAAAAAAAATGACTCGCAAAAAAGGACAACGAGATGGCGACGATCGCGAGTGCGTGCATATTAAAAGCGATGTCATACTTGCGCTGGTAGTAACATTATAAAAATAAAACTAAATGTGCTGTCGAAAGAAGACACCAAAAATAGACGAGAGAACAGATTTTTTTAAGACCCAGAATGCATTCCAATTTATTCGAAGCGCATCGTGTTCTATTGAGCATTTTGTTGAAACGCAATCCCGAAAATGCAACACTCGATGAGCATTTAAATGTTGATGTTGAAACGAAAATGATTTTCCTGATCTGAATGTGAATGTGAAACGCTTTTTTCCTGCATCAAATCTATTTTTGTCTGTGCACCGCTGGCTAAATAAACATATGTAAAAGACGCACACATGCAATATATTACAGTCCGAGATTTAGTTGTTGAATCTCCGAAAATGCCCAGCCATAAAAAAAATGGTGCATAGTGCCACTCGGTACAAACTATTTTATACGTCGAATTAATTGCATTCGACTGCAAAAGTGCAAAATAAACCTCTTTGACGAAAATCAAATGAAACTTGTTTTTATCGATTTTTATGATGAAAATATACTGTTTATAGACGACATGTGCATGGTACATCATAATTTCTGCCACTAAATGTTGTAAACTTGCATGCCTCGCCTGAGCTGTACCATTGACATTTAGTATCGATCATATCGAAAAATTCAAGCGCACAAATTTTGAATTGCACTGAAATTACGTCTGTTTCAGACATTTTTAAGTGGGCAGTCAGTTTTCAGTGAAATGGAAACACGTTGGGAAGAATATATCAATAGGCACGGACATTTTTAGCTTATGTTGAATTCTTCTATTAGCTGACAAAGCTTACACACACCAATTAACATATCGTCTAAATATCTTTTACATTAAAAAAAATTGAAACTGCCATAAAGAGAATGCATTCTCAAAAGATTTTGTGGCGATCGAAGTCATTAAGTTGCAACGCAACTACATCTTATTAGGTTTAATTGTAAAATAAAATTCCCTGTAATGATTTAAATAAGATCTAAGTTCTTAATATAGAGATATGCAGTGCTTTTATTAATACCCAAAAAATGTAATCTTCAAAATATGCGTGAAGTCTGAACTTTCGGCCACTCAGTCTGTCTTACATGCGATAACGTAATATGGTTCTTTCCGTTGTTTTTGTGTATGAGAGTAAACAAATGGAATTTTAGGTCCATGAGTCGACGAGTCCAAATTTCTTTCTAAGCAGACAGTCTCATTCAAAATCAATAAGTTAAATTACGTTGTATCAATCAGGCATAATTTTGGAAATTGAAAAACCAATGAAAAAAATATATGAAATAGAGTCCCAACCCGGTAGTTAGTAATAATAACCAAAGTCCAATATCCCATAAAGCATATTTTAATTAAATTTATTACCTGTATATGAATCTCTAATTCATGCAGCATATCTTCTTTGGCTAGTTTAACTTGCTCTTCCAAACGATGGTCGTATTCATTTACCAAATTGTTAAACAATTCCGCGTGCTCACTGTTATTTGTTAAATTTGACGTTAGTAACACAAGTGGCTGCTTTTGATCGGCCGTTGTTGCGGTTAGCTGAATGATGGTTAAATGTCATGTAATATGAAGGAAAAGATTTGATAAAAATGGATGATAACACAAACATGCAGTTTAAATTGAACACGGAAACATATTAAAGTACATCAATTTAAAGTGAATTGAAAATTGATTAGAAATGTTAAAATTAAATGTGTGAAAATTCCATAAACCGATATTTTTCACTTTTTGCCAGCAATTTCCACAAATGTTATGCTTTTCCATTAATTCTACGAAATGAATGCTATGAAATTTTGATGCGATTTTTATGGTGCTGACAGCGTAATTTTGAAGTAATTTAATGTTCACGCCATTCAAACAGACATAATGACACAAATTCCGAAATTAACTATCATTTTCAAACATTTGTTCGGTAAACGATTTCTTCATTGATAGTTTCTGTTTTTGTGTGATTTTCTCATGCCAAATAAAGTCTCTTGATTTATTGATTAGGAAAGTGATAGCAAAGAGTGAAAAATTCCAACAATTCAAATGTAAATACTGAGAATTGAAAACTCACCAAATATTCATCATCATCTGCCGGACGGTCTAACGATTGCAATTTATATTTCAACTGACCAAGATTTTCTTCGTGCGATTGCTTCAAATTTGCAATTATGTTGTGATAATGTTTGTGTATTTCGTCGGCATTTAAATGCTCAAATTTGCTAGTGTCAAGCGATCGGAATTCACTTCGACTATTTCGGCTCAGTCTTTTGAGTGGACTAGAACCGGTACTATGGATACTATGGATATTGGTCGGCGTGAGTTTACGATGTGTTGGACTAGCTAGAATTTCACCAGTTTTGCTTGTTCGTCGAATGTAACCCGATTTTGTTTCGTCGGGCAAGACGAAAATTTCATCGTCTGACAAATCCGAATTAGTATCGTTCGAATGACGTCGACTATGCTGCGAAAAGACTTCTTCAGAGTACCTACATCGAAATAGAGAAAAATCATTTAAATTGGAATCAAACTCAAGCACAACAGAGTAAATTATATGAAAGAAGTGCGTGCATTCTCCGGTGCCAATACCAGCCCTATTGAATACTTACTGTTTTTCCAAGTCTGTACACTTCCGTTCGAAGTACATTCGTAAGTTTTCCATTTCTTTTTTGTGAATTTTATCCAATTCGGCGCGTAGTTCAACGACTTCTGACGATCCGCCTTTGATATTTGACAACAATTGTCTCAAGCGATTTGTCTCCGTATCCAATTCGGCTCGTTCCATTTGTTCTTGATGCAATTTTGCTTTGACATCATTTACGCGGTCGTTGAGCATTTCATTAAATTCGCTTTCGATACGAGTAAACAATGATCGTTCATCTGTGTTCAAAGCCTCTTTGAATTCTTCAATAATTTCGTGTGATCTCTTTGACGAAACATTTTTATTCGGTTGACATTCACCTGTTGGCTTTGCTTTGAAAACATAATTATCCATTTCTCGACTTTGGCGTCTCTGTACAATGACATCATCATCATCATCGAAATCACTTTCGACTACTAAATCGATAGTTGTTTCCGACAAACGTGGCTCATTGAATGATTCTCTGTCGGTGATCCATTTTCTTTTGTCAATGGCCGCCTTTGTTTCTTTAAGTTCGTTTGCCAGACATTCATTTTGTTCATTCAATCGATCACGAATATTAATCGATTGTTTCAGTGAATCGGTTAGCTCTTGAATGATGCGATCGCGTTCGTCTACTGCGATTTGAAAATCAGTTAACTGAAATGAAGCAAATAAAATCGGTTATTAAAACATTGCATGTAAAATGCACTAAAAAAACGCATAAAATGTCATTTCGAAATGGAACCTATCGATTGGCAAACAATATAAATCAATAGTTTTGCACAAATGTACAGGGAAACAGAGCAGTCAACATTTTCCCTATTGAACACTTGTGCGAATGTATTCAATACACATATGCAATGACATTGGATCGATTTTGAGCAAACCCAATACAATAAACACATGTTCAAAAAGTCCATTGTATGCTGAGATGTGTGTAAAATAAATACAATGTGCAAATCATATGTTCAGTGAACACAATGGTTGCTACAAGTTCCCCTGTTGCATTGAAGCAAAACAATAGACTAATCCGATGTGTTGTTCCCTTTCAAAAACTCACCCGAAAGTATTCATCCTGGAACGGTCGATATTCGGTCGAATTGGTTGTAAGACTAGTTGAATCTCTTCCTGACTCCTTAAGCGAATCCCGTCGGCTACTTGATAACAATGGTAGATCAAAGTATCCAACCGAGTACTTTCCAGCATGAATATTTTGTAATTCTTTGATTTTGTTTTGCATATGAAGCAAATTCAAGTTGAGTTCGTCCTGAAATTTTGCATCCGTCGGATTAGTCTCCATTTTGGCAAATACATTGTAAACAGTTCCATCGGTGAGGGTGCTATTCTGTGAGCTGGTCATTTGTTTGCTATCAACTGACAATAGATCGTCGTTTAAATTTGGCGGCCGATTTTCCTTATCGAGAGGTAGTCTATTCACTGTTTCATCGATAATTTTTCGAATTTCGATCTTTTTATTGGCGGCATTCTCATTGTGATTACTCGATAATTCCTCAGCGGCTGATACCTCTTCAATGACCGACAGCTCTGGCAATGATTCATGATCTTCCAATGGTTTGCACTTTTTCACTTCTTCCTCATCAGTTTTTGTACTTTCATCATTCCTATCCGACTGTGCCATTTTATCTGACGATGATTTTGATCGTTCGGCTTCCAATTCGAGTTTGTTCGACGATTCATTGACTGAAATACCCGATAAATCCTCAATCGAACGTTGTTCTCTGATGATGTCTTCGATTTGTAAATCAGATATGTCACTGGTCGTATTTTGATTCGCACTGTTTGCATCCGATTGTGAACGGTGTCGTTGCTGCTCTAACAGCGAATCCAAACTAATTTCATGGTCGTTTATCAATATCACATCACTTTTTACAACACTTTTACCACTGCCACTGGCCGATGCCGAATGACTGTCGCGATTCACTAAATCTTTGGATGTTTGCACTTTGCTTAAACTGTGTGATGCTTTTTTAAATGCATCACATTTTGTTTGGTTTGAAACCGGTTCTTTTACACTGTTTCGTTTGGTAACATCGGCGATGAAATGTTTCGCGATATTGTCACCCGACAGTGATTCATCTAATAAGTCGGCAACATCAAATTTGGAAAATTTACGCATGCCATCAGCGCCAACGATATCACTTTTATCGTTGTCTTCAAAATCGAATAGTCGCCGTTTCTTTTCAGCTACCAGTTGATCGAACTGTTGTGATGTCTTTTCAATGCTATCATCAGCTACACTATTCGATTCGATTTCCTCCGATATGTGCTCCGAAATTGAAATGTTAAGCGAATCTTCAAAGTCATCGTCGTGATTTTTCGATGATTTTTGTAGAGCCATTACATTGTCAATAGAATCTTGCTCTTTGAGCGGACTTTGAGATAACTGCGGACTAAAATTGGCCATTTTATCCAATTCGATACAAAGATTGCCTCTAATCAAAGTTGTTGAGTGATTGGAAAGCGAAATATAGGAGAGTGTTGCTTAGATATTTGGCATGACGCCGGCCAATACTCTCATATATGCCCTATGCGGAGGTTGAACAGGCTAGCAATTTTCAGGGGGTAGAATGTGAATTCGATCCAAGGCAGAGTGGTTGACGAAAAAACTAGATCAACAAGAAGAAAATAAAAATAGACAAATTTAATATTCGTGAATTTGGTATTTACTAACCACAAAAACTAATGAAATAATCGTAAAAACTAAAAAGTTAAAAGTAGACAGAAAAAGAGAGAGGAATGGAAATGGAGAGAGAGAGGAATAGAAATAAAGAGAGAGAGATAGAGAGAAAATGTGAGATAGAACGCTAAATACTTAAAAATTATTTAAATTCATGTGTGGCTTTTATCTGTCAGTCCATGCAGCAATGAAGCAACGTTTCAATTGTACAAATTTATATTAGGTATTTATTCACAACATACCGAAAAAATTATCTACCAACTATGTTCATCACAAAATTGATATCAGAAATGGTGTGCTTCAAAGGTATTTTATTTGATACAAATAACAAAAAAGAAAAGAAACATTTTATCCAACTGTCAAACTTAACGCCAATTTCCTTGGATTATGACCTCAAAAATACGAAACGAACGCAACACATGGATACAATATGCTATATATTTTATCGATTTTCGATTCAGTCATGCATAAATATTTACAACAATCGCTGGATGATTTTAAGTTTATATCGACGCGGCTGCTTAATGTACTGAGAGAAAAAAAGAAATAGAACAAAATATACACACTCGTAAGATTTACACAATTAACTCCAATGTATGACTGTTTGATTATTTCTTTTTTCTAATTTTAAACGATGGTTTGTGATTGGCAGCCAAATGATCAATCAATTGAATCTGTGCACACTTTAAAATTTACTGTCTAACTGCACTCTTCACGTTTATTGTAAACAACTAATTTAAATTTCTTTGACACCATATCTACCCTGTAAGCGACTCGCTTCTAATTTGATGAGCTAATGCATTTGGCAAACAATTTTATATGCAGACACAATTGTCTATTTTACCCACGCGTCTTTTATGTTCCTCACTCAACTCTATCTACCGAACAATTATTGAGTTAGAAATACTAACACACCGACATTCATGACAAACAATATGAAATCAGCAGTAGCAACTTTGACACAACGACATTATAGCGACGGCTCCGTTCAGTACCGAAAACACAATTATTGTAAATGTGACTTTCGGTTTTCTGCGACTCAGAATGAAAAAATGTATCTTGACACGAACTATTTAAATAAATGTATTTTCAGTTTCGAAGCAACCACTAGAAGTGAATTTGAATCCAAAGAATGTACATATGAAAGTATTTCCGATTCACCATAGGAAACATTTTGAAATCGAAACTATATATTTTCGAATGGAAAGTGCTAATTTTTACTGTAAAAAGCAGCCAGGCGATTTTCCAATCAAAACTGTGTGCTCATTGAGATGAACATCAAATTTAAGCCACATTACAACATCAGCTCCTACCTTATTACAAAATACTCAAATATGGCCTGGCTGAACTTTGTGTTGTACGATGTAAGGCAAACGACTCATGCTTATGTTTGGATTTGGATAAATATAGAATGCATGTTTCCGAACAAGACGGGCATGGTTTTTAGTTTTACATCAATTTGAGGAGATTTCTCTTTCTCTCCTTCTCTCTTTGTTTCTCTGATGTATATTAGGACATTCTTCATTTGCACAACACCATTCGTCAGTCGAGATTGATGATGTTGGTCGATGTGCGTAAAACTGAACTGAATTATTTAACCGAACCGACGAATAAAAACATCACACCAAACGAATTCAGAAAGTGAAATCTCGAATAGAAAGAGTGCGGTGTGGTGTTATGCTCATTCAGATTGGTGACTTCAACTGTTTTTAAAATACAGTGCAAGAGATCATCTGAACACTTGAAATAGTATATCATTCACTAAAACACTCGTTTGTACTAATGAGTACGCGTTAAATCAAATTAAAATGTGATCTAATGCTTGCGCATCTTCTATTGATCGCAACATTTTATATATCTCCTAAAATTGGCCAGCCGTCGTCGTCGTCGTCATCGTCGCAAAGCACAATGATTTTAATTTGTTTCAATTCAAGAGAGCTGAATACACTATATACTTATTGTTGTGCGCGAGATATGATCGATGCCGTTCTGGTCGATTGGTCGTTTTGAATGAAACTAAATGATATGATTTGAATATCTGATTTCCTCTCGCTCTCAGTCGATCAACGTTCGAAATCAAATATAAAATAACAAAATAAAATTCAATGTACTCAATTATTTAGGTTGGGCATTAAATGAAAACACATGGTTGAATCAGAATACGAAATTTTGTCTCAATTTAAATATTTACGTAACAATAGCAGCAGTCAGAACACACAACGAAATGCACACTCTAAAGCTAATCAATGACTCGCGGTGTTCACCGACACAGCAGCAACAACTGAACACCGAACAAACTCTTCGAAATGTTCAATGCCAATAACGGTTGAAACGGAATCGCTCGACAAAACAAGCTCCTTAACACCGAAACAATATTTAACCAAATCCCTCGAATTGGATACATGCACACTATAACACACAACCGTATTGCATTGTGTCGCTCGACTCTTTTGTACACGCCACTTAGAAACAAAATTACCGATTGAAATGTGGAGCGCACGATAAACGAATGAGCGGCAACTGTCTCGACTTTGGTTTCAATGTGTGTCAGGCAGTGAATGTTTCGACAAATCACGAAATTATGATAATTTTAACTTTATTTTCTATAAAGCAAATAACAAATCGAATTTTACTTTTATATTTAATTACGTTCTTTTTTTTTTGCGTCACAACACGGTGCAAGGATATGAACGTATGAACGATAACGTGAAATGTCGATGTAATAGCATGACAATTTCATATAATAACAAAGAAACCATGAAAAGGATTTTTTTTGCAATTATCGTTTTTTCAACATAAATAAATAAAGTGTTTCGCCATGTATGTGCACATGAACGGTACACACATGCATATTTTTTTTTTCAAACAGAAATGTTGATAAAATTCAATCTTTTCACTCACATTTGATGGATATGGCTCGATTTTACCGTTGGAACTTTGGAACGTTGCAAACAAACGATGATCTCAGTCAGCACCCTTCTTTGGAGATTGGTTGTCGACGTTTCGAATGATGGTTTTCATTTACAGTTGACGATGAAATGCCAAATTCGCCACTATATTTCCGTGAGAAAACGCTGGAACTTAAGTTCTAGTGGAATTGCTATTCCCACAAGGCACAACGTGCTAAAATGAATTTAAACGAACGAAACAAACAGAATGCTGTTTTTAAACTCTAGAGAGTAACTTTGGAACGTTTGCAAACAAACGATGATTTTAGTCAGCACCCTTCTTTGGAGATTAGTTGTCGACGTTTCGAATGATGGTTTTCATTTACAGTTGACGATGAAATGCGAAATTCGCCACTATATTTCCGTGAGAAAATGCTGGAACTTAAGTTCTAATGGAATTGCTATTCCCACAAGGCACAACGTGTTAAAATGAATTTAAACGAACGAAACAAACAGAATACTGTTACTTTAAACTCTAGAGAGTAAAATGAAATGAATAAATTAAATCGAATTAAAAACGGATTTTCCGTATAAAATGTGTTTATGTATATGTCTGTCTATTTTTAATTTCCGTCGCAATGAACGATATTCAGAATAATTTGCAAAACAAACGTTGCCGAATGCGCTTTTTTTAAAAATTAAAATCACTTTTTCCGTGTGTATTGACTGTTGTGTGCAAGCAGCGCGTATGTTTTCGGTTGTGTTTTTGTGTTGTGCATAACATCGGTTAGATACTGGCCACTTCGTTATGCTCTCTACTGTCAAACACATATTCACATACGCTTACATATTGAAATACATCGCACACTTGGCGCCGCTTCACTACCATCACACCGCGTGTGTCACTATGTGAGTTAGAAATTTTTAAACAAACGTTTGTGGTGAATTTTACGGAATATGAAACCAATACGTTCTATATTATAGAAAACATGGATACGCTTATATTTCTTTCCTCAATGAATTTTTTTGTTTTGAAGTGCACAAAAAATGTAGCAAAAAAATATTCGTATCTGCATTGATTGCTTTAGAATTTTCCAAAATATTCCATTCAAATCGCTTGAATTGTTTTGAAATGACAATGTCGTAAATACGAAACGACATGGAATAGGAATGGTCATATCGGCATTGTCTATACATTGCCAACTTCACGTTGATTCGGCAATTCACTTATTGTGTGAAACGTGTTAACTTCGTCACTGCGATTGAAAAGGGAATAATTTTTTTGTGTGGAAAAGTTTATTGAAATTAATTCGAAATGTCTGAAACTGATAGCGCATCTGGGCTATTTTCGGTGCCTACATTGCAGTACAACGAAGATGGATGGGGACCGCATGAAATTTCCGAAGATTTTCGTGTAATGCCGTATCAGGTATGCAAAATAATTTTTCGCTATACGATGACATAAACGGTACCAATTGGCAGACAATTGAATCGATTTATATTGTTTAAATTCAAGAAATTTGTATTGAAAGTGACATAAATGTGAAATGCATACAGATCCAGAGATCAAAAAAATAATTTAAATGTAAATATGATGAAAATAAGATCTAAAATCCAAATTTCGTTGATTTGACAGCCATTCAGCAAGAATGACCGTATCGGTAAAATCAGTGACTGGACTGGAACAGCCACAATGGATAAGAAATTCCCAAGTGAGTATCATTTGCAATTGTATCATCAAAATACAATCGATACCATGATAAAATCATGGTTTGAAAGTGTTTTGTTGCTCCCAATCGATGGTTGTGAATAATTTGAGGTTATATTTCACAAGGTCCATACCAAGCTCACTAATTAGCATATGTGATTGTTGAACTGTTATTAATGGCATTGTTTTTGTAGATAAATACACTTCGCAGTTTGGAGCTGGAAGCCAGTATGCATACTATCACGATGAGGACGAGACCACTTTCCATTTGGTTGATACTGCTCGAGTGCAGAAACCACCATACCAACGAGGACGCTTCCGTGGAAATTCCCGTCATATGCGGTAAATATTACAAAAAGAATAAATGAAATGTTTGTTATTTTAAACTAAATGATTGTTCTTCGTTACAGTGGTCGCGGTAATCGTTCGATGCATGCTGGTGGCATGCAACAATTGAATAAGAATGTGAAAATTCGTGACAATCGTCGTGGTGTCACACGTAAATGGGGTAATCGTGGACCACCACCAAAGATCCGTGATGCATCGGTTGCTGTGCGTTCCGATTGGGCGACCATTGAAGAGATGGACTTTCCGCGTTTATTGAAATTGTCGTTGCCTGGCATCAAAGAAGGCGAAGACATTCGCCGTTGTGGCGCATTGGAATTCTATGATAAAACTTATGACCGTGTTAATGTGAAAAATGAACGTCCATTGCAACGTGTTGATCGTATTTTCCACACTGTTACCACCACCGATGATCCGGTCATTCGTCAATTGTCGAAAACTGAAGGTAATGTTTATGCAACGGATGCTATTTTGGCAACGATTATGTGCAGCACACGGTCAAACTATTCATGGGATATTGTTATTGAGAAAATTGGCGGTAAATTGTTTATGGACAAGCGAGATAACACTGAATTTGATTTATTGACTGTAAATGAAACGTCCGTTGAACCACCAAATGATGATGCATCCTCATTAAATTCACCTAGAAATTTGGCCATCGAAGCAACTTTCATTAATCACAACTTCAGCCAGCAGGTACGCTGAATTTCGGGTTTAATTTTCATCTGAAAATTTACTCAATGTATAATTTGGGATCGACACTTTTTAATAATAACTTACACATAAAAATGAATTTTTAGGTATTAAAAGGAGGTGAAAAATACAAGTTTGAAGCACCAAATCCATTTATCACCGAAGAAGAAGAAGGTGAAGTAGCCAGCGTTGCATACCGATACCGTAAATGGGATCTTGGAAATGATATTGTACGTATTGAAATAATGTTAAGATTGAATCGGACATATTCATTAAAATGGAATTTTATTCGTCAAACAGGTTTTAGTTGCCCGTTGTGAGCTTGACTCCGCCATGCAGACACCAGGTGGTGAAACGCAATTTATATCGATCAAAGCGCTGAATGAATGGGATTCAAAGGCTGCCAATGGTGTTGATTGGCGTCAAAAGCTTGACACACAACGTGGTGCTGTATTGGCCAATGAACTCCGTAACAATGCATGCAAATTGGCAAAATGGACAGTGCAAGCGCTGTTGGCCAGTTCCGATCAGATAAAATTCGGTTATGTATCGCGTGCACACATTCGTGATTCATCGCGTCACGTCATTTTGGGCACATCACAATTCCGACCACAAGAGTTTGCCACACAAATCAATTTGAGCATGGACAATGCGTGGGGCATTTTGCGTTGCATCATTGACATTTGCATGAAACAAAAAGACGGCAAATATTTGATCATGAAAGATCCAAATAAGCCAATGATTCGTTTGTACGATATTCCCGATAATACATTTGAAACTGAAGGATCAGAAAACTCCGGCGAAGAATAAAACAACACCGTCACACATTCTTGTGGCATTCTTGTCTCATTTAGTTTTTCCTACAAAATTTAAACGCATTATAATCACATTTTTCTGCATTCATGTTCGAAAGATTAAAACGCTTCATCGAGTTGATTGACAAGAATTTATATACATTTTTAACGTTAAACAATCATAAAAATCTTAAATTGTATAACGAATATGAATATTAAACTATTCAAACCATTAGGATATCAAAATGGTAAAAGAAGAAAATAATGTTTTTTATTCATTTCCTTTTGAATTCAAGGGCGATAAAATAAAATTCGACTTTCTATTTCTATTCGAATGTTTCAGCAACACACACGAAATCGGTAAATATTGCTGAATTATGCACGAAGCAAAACTCACGCGATTTGACATTTGTGACAGCCAAAAGTGTACTTGTCACAAGTTAAAGTATTTTCTCTATTATCAAGTCGAGACTCTGTTATTGTTCGAAAAATTGTGACTTCAATCATAATTAATTCGCAAAAATGCCGACCTACGAGATGATATTACTGGTCCGACAAATGGCTAAGGTAAGACCCTTCCACGTGAACATAAAAATCAATCGCATTTTATTGAATAAATGGATTTTTCCATAATGTAAATACATGGCACAATGTTGAACCTAACCTCAATGTTCCATTTACAAATTTCAGCCTCAATTTAAGGCAGCTGTTAAACGTTCTGCCGAACATATATTCGACCGTGGCGGTTTCATTCGAAAGATCGATTACTTGGGATTCAATAAATTGGCATACAAAATCAGTAAAAGTGCGATGCCATACCGTGAGGCCGAACAGATCATTTTCAATTTTGATGTAAGCGCACAAGTGAAAGACGATTTAATGGAAGAAGTTGACCTCGATATCGATATAATTCGTTGTAAAATTTTCCCATACGAAGTGCCAAAACCATTTGAATGCACACTTGAACAAGAATTACAGCCAGTATCGTATCGAGAAGATGTGAAAAAATTATTGGAACTGCAAGAAAAGAGCAAGAAAAAACGATGGCTGCCAAATATGGGAATTGAATACTATCCATTCCAACGATAGACACAATTTTCATTGGAATTTTTTTAGCTTTTTTGTGTTATAAAATTTACTGTAGTAAATAAATGCTTATGAATTATGCCATTAATGGCTCAAAGGAAATGAAAGCTTTTTTTTACTGTGCACTTTTTTACAGCATTTTTGTAACATGCAAACTGAATATTTTGGAACGATTAGTTTAATTAAGAGTCACGCAACTGTCGCAGGGCTAATCAATTCGCAGTTAAAATTGAGACAAATTTATGGCACGACCAAAGTCAAAGGTCAAACATTTTTTTTTTTTGTTACCATTTGATTTCACATTAATGAACCCATTCAGAATTATTTGATGAACTGAACATACAACAAAGGTGAACCAATTTTCGATTAATGTGAATCAAACAAATTCAACAAATTTCGCTTTTTTTTTTGCATATTTACTAATTCTGCAAAAAAATGAAATAGTAGTCTCATAGTATGCAGAATTAGCAAATATGCAAAAAAATCAAATAAAAATATCATATTTAGTATTTTGTTCATATAGTTCACGTAGCAGTGCCAAATAAGCCAATCATTGAAGCATAAACTATTGATGTCAACTGATCGTTTTTGGTTAAAAAGTAACAGAAAAATTAGAAAAAAAATTCTAGAAAAATTCAATTATCTAAAATTTCGAAAAAGTGAATTTTTCCACTTTTGCAAAATTATTTAAAAATTGTTTGAAAAATGAATGGATAAAAGATCTTTATACCCTCGCTGTACTCACTATACATCCCTCTTTCTGAATACCACTCATTTCAATCGATGTAGTGCACCGTTTCACCGTCGAAAAATGACTCGGTCATTAGATACCTGAAAAAAACTAACAGTCCTTTAGACATGGAATCCGAAAATTGCCTGAGAAATGGGGAAAACTGATGGCTAGCGATGGAAAGTACTTTGAATGCTCCCAATATGAAAACATCAAAAAGTACAATAACAGCAGCAGCTGCTATAAATTAAACATTAAAATTCTTGAGATGAAAGAAAACGTATAAACAGCAATTATTTCAAATTCTTTGAAAAAACGAGCAATAAAAATTCTCAAGTCAAAATTACAATCGCATTGGAATTCAACAAAATCTCTGTATCTCATCATTTTTTTTGCTGTGCAAAGCAAAAAAAACTTCAATTTGATTTATACAAAATGGTTTACGACTTATATTCAAAATCAGAATTTTGCATGCTGCACAAAGAGAAAGGTCTCATATAACCGATAGAAAGGAATACAGACAGAGAATCAATCAAGATTAAAGTTTCAATGGAAATATTCTCTAATTCGTTTAAGCATATGAAATCAGTTTTTTTTTATTGAGTTCCATATACTCAAACGAAAAGTGGATTAGGAAAAAAATCCATTTGAATTTAAAAGAACACATTTAGTAATCCTCCGAAAATCACAAGAAAAAAATCTGCATTGATTTCAAGTTTGAGCGTTGCCAAAAATAGCGAACAAAAAAAAAACTAGTTTGCAGTCAATCTGATGAAACGAAGCGCAATGCCACAATGACGTGAATAAAGTTCGTCAACCTTAACGCTCGCGCGTGCTATTGTATTCGGCGAGTGTGTGTTATCATCAAATCACAGGTATAACAGTATATGCTATAGATTATGCCAAACGATTAGAGAATGCAATCAAGCGATAGAATAACACTGCAGAAAAAAATACCGAATCCATTCTAAAAAATTAATTCAATCCACTCTCTAATTGAATAGAAACAGAATAACTGTATTATAAATTCTCAGCGAGTGTCCAGATATAAAAAGAAAAAAAAAATCTATATCATTCGAAACTGTGTGATATATTTACTGTTTGCAATGCAATTCATTCGAATTAGTTCCCACGTACCACTTATTTCAAATCGCGGTATTTTTTTCTCGTTTGCTATAAACGTCGTACATAGAGGAAAAAGAAGAAACGAATAACAATAACCAAATGAAATGTGCTGCCCACCTTGCGTCTTCTTATTTTCATCTCCATTATGCGCAACAAAGTGCTTATACTTCACAATGCTATGAAACATCTGCCAACATGCTCTACACTCTATTTATTTGCTCTCGGTAATGTTTTTTGTTGTTGTTGTTACACGATGAGCCAGACAATGAAATCGAAAACATTGCCACTTATTTGATGAATGAAAAAAAAAAAATAGCAGCAGAAGAAAAAAATCCACTCGATGTAAGAAAAACCAATGAAACCCGTGCATTACATAAATTTCAATTGAATCATTTGTTATTTGTGTGAGCAATTTTCTTGTTAAGGCAAAACGAAGACGAGCTAGAGATATTTGTGTAATAGCATTGACGGTGAATCTTCAACCGATCAAAATCGTTGGTCGTGAACAATGTGAGTGAAGTTTTCGAATTTTTAATTGAAATCGCTTTTTTCGCCGTTGATTATATAGAAGATATTGTGTCGTGTCGGTGGAATTAATGATGGTTATTGTGCTGGACGTTGTTGATTGGTAACGAAACGGGCAAAAACGATGCAAAAAGAAATTTGGGAAAAGTATCAATTTTCACTCATTCATTTTTTTTCCCAACCATTTGTCACATGACTTTGTATATTAACTTCAATGACGCCGAATGGATGGTTAAAAGCGACCGCCGAATGGATTATTTTCAGACTAATAATAGATAACTATAAAGTTGCGCGCTTTCGTTTTCAATTTAATTATCAGTTGGATTAACAACGTTGACATGGATCATTGAGTTATCGAATCGTTTCGAATCTTGTCGTAATTTCAATTATAAATTTCTTATCGATAACCATTAATTTTCGTGTAATAAAACGTCTACGAAGTTGTTGTTTTTGTGTGTTGTCTAAAGACTTAATTACTATATTTTTCATGTAAAGAGCAAAATAATTGGTCTTGAGATGGCCAATGACTCCTCCTCAATTGAATCGGAAATGTGAAATGGATTTGGTCCTGTTACATTTTAAAGATGCAATGGCCTTTTTTCAATTTCAATAAATTTTTTCATGTCTAAAACAACGGCAAATGAACAAAAGAAAGAGAGTAGCGAGACGATAATATCCAATCTTAATTTGCTTGTTGTGATATATCCATTATGCGCCAATATAAATTACACTAATTTTCAAATCACTTTAAAATTGATCACCACTAGCATATTGTGTAGTCATTGTTGTTGGTATGTGTCGGGGCATATTATGTGTTGATGCTGTTGTTGTTATTATCCAATGGCGAAAATGGTAACATTACAAAAGTCAAATGACGAAATAAAAAAAAAGAGATATCCCATGCTCGAGTGGTGTTTGATGGCGATGGGCGACGATTATTGTTGTTATCGTTGAATGCGGTTACCGTGTCTAAATATCCGAGAGCCTAATTCGAAAAACAACGGTGGCCGTGTTTGCTCAGTCTAATGTAAAGTATGCATTTCGTTTATTTTTGGAAATACACGATGTCGTCGGTATGCAAAACAATATACATATCGGGGCTGGCCACAGTACAGCAAAAATATCTTGCATAAAACCCATATTAAAGGAAGCATACACGAATATGGAGCAGAGACACACACACATCGAGTTTATGGTGTAAAACAAAAGCAACGCGGTTGCTGCGTTTTTCGGAGGCCACTCATTTGTTATTTGTCAACATACACCTATACAATTTTCCGCTCCACAAGTTTCCTTTCGCCCACAAGATGAACCGAAAAACATATGGCATTTAAATCGGTTTTCAAATATTTTCCGAAACGAAAAAAAGAAGAAGAGAACATCGAAACGTGTATGTGCTCGAGCAGCACACGATATTCACTTTTTAGATGGGTATATATGGAATTGCTGTTAGCCATTGTTATAGTCTAAAAATGGTTTTGTGTTCGTTGTACCGTGTGCTTGAAGCACGCTTTGCTCTACCTACACGACGTATAATGTCCTTTTTCGCTAGCTTCATCGTCTACACACACCGTACACCGATGGATCTGTTGGTGTAGGTCACATGGAAAACGAATTCGATTCAATGTATGCCTGCCTCTCTGTCTCACTTAAACGACATTCACTTCGAGCATCTGAATTGAACGCAAATACGCATAAAATTTTTAATGGAATTTGAAATTTCCAAATGACAATAAGATGCAAACAGATTTTCGCCCATCTGGTCGGCTCTTATTTAATTTTGTTCACAATTCAAGCACCAAAGTCATCTATATATGAGAGACTCCCCAATTTTTATGCAAATAAACCGTCGTCTTGTACACTCGCATCGAATTGTCTATGTTTTGAATTCGACTTGTTTCACCTTTTTTTTCACGGTAATTAAAACCGATTCTGCAATTGTCAGCGAATTTAGAAGCACATCGACATACGACACATTAAATGACTTTGAATTTCACCCGGTTTATCATCCGACCGAAGCGACAGAGAGCAAAAGAAAATTGCATAACAACATCAACAATGCTGGTTGGAACAAGAGCAGATAATATAATACAATTATCCATTTGATGACATCACAGATTAACACTTGCGGGAACAACAGCCGTGAACAAGTGAGATTTTTATCAAAAGTTACTCTCGCCTCTGTCGTGTCATATAATTACAAAGTCAAATGACGGGTAATTTTTTAAAAGTTAAATAAAATAACATTCGATGAGTGTAAAAGCGAGCATTTTAAATGTTCGCACCCAATTTAAAATGTCTGGAAAATCCGGTGCGCTAACATTAAAATAACCGAAAAAAAAGAAGAAGGATGACTGCGTATGGATGGAATCACGATTTAAATGCAAACATTTTCCACATGGCGATAATAATTGCTTTGTAAAAGCACTTCTTTTTTTTTTTGAATGTTCGCTTTGGCGTGTGCGCGATGCTGTCGTATAAATCAAAAGTGGAAAAGTTTTGACAAAACACATCAAATAATCAATGGCAATCTCGTTTGCGCCACCATAAGCGACGAAGTTAAACATTGTGTATTTTTCGTCTCTCCTTCGGTCTCATAAGATGTTTCAATCATTCTGAACCTCAAAATGCAAGCAACTAATTCGCTGCTTGCGCACAAAACCGATTATGCGAGAAATAATGATGATTATATTTTTCTGTGATTTCTTCTAGCTTGTCGCTTCATTTTAGATTGATATCAATTTGCTGCTGCCGTTGGTTTTTTTCTGCGCTTAATTTTCTCCCTCTCGTCTTTGGCCTCTAATTAGTTCTGATGACTTCTCGCTAGCATTGCCACGCTATCACAAATCATTAATATCAACTCGATAATGAAAAAAGAATTGAATTGCGGCGCCATAAAATGCGCTCGTCGAATGATTGAAACGAACATTTCCTTCCATTAAATATTCATGCATAGTGAAAAAGAGCAAGAGAGAGAGAGAGAGAGAGAGAGAGAGAGAGAGAGAAAGGAGGACACAATTGAGAAAAAAAACATACACTGAATTATAACTAACGATTGTGACAATGGCAGTTTTTCATCGAGAAAATTTGATATCATCATCAATTGAAATAATCATTTTTATAGTACCATTCGTCGGTAATTGTTTTGTACTAATTTTTTTCCTCTTCCATTCTCTTTTATTGGCTGCACAATCACTTGTGACTATTGTTTCTGATGGAATTGCGCTTATTGTTAATGACCTAAAACCTTGAACTTCAGTAGCTTGTCTTTTTTATTTTTCATACTGATGACAAAAAAAAAACTACAATATATAGTCCATATAATAATAATTTTCGAATGCGATCGGCGCACGATTGTGCCAACTCATGCATCGAAATGAGTTTTTCGATTTAGTTTTTTCCGCTATTCGTTTGCCCATTCCCGAAATACTCATGCTTAAAATAGCGTTCGATTTTGGCAGCTTTTTTTTTTGGTTTCGTCTTCACCGAATAAATTATTATTTTATTGTAAGAGTTTTGCGCGCACTGCTAACCGATGATACCATCGCTTTTGGTGTGTTATTCATATCGAATTTAATTCGCGTGCTACGGCGTTTCATGGCATTATAATTTATGTGATGGCTTTCTTCCATTCAATTTGCTCTTCGCTCATGCTATTATTTCATTTCGATCAACGTAGAATTGTCATGCAAAAAAGTATTAAGAATAATTGTATATATCGCGCGTTAATCGAGTCAAATTGACTTCTTCGGTATATTCCTTGGTTTTTGTCATCAAAACCGTTTCGCGCCTCGATGAAATTGAATAATAACTATTTTGATACCAACAAAAATGATTCCTTAATTTTGAAGCCATGCAATATTCACTTGAACTAAATAACGGTTTTCCATTCAATTTTGTTTCTTTCTTCGCGCAATTTTTTTGTTTTGCATTCGTATTTCCGTAATGCGAGTCAGTGCGGCAAACACGAAAGAGAAAAAAAAAAAATACTTTTTATGGAAATTATCTGTTGTGGTCGAATAGACATAGTAGTGTTTTTTTTCTCGCTCTTAAATCGCGTTATGTTTTGAAATTGATAAATTATGTAATGCCGCGGAAATCGGTCATTTGTGAAGGAAATAGCACAAACCGTATAATATTAGAGAATTCTCAAATTTGCAAGTAATTTCCAAAGCTTTCTTTTTTTTTCTCTCACTTATTTTAACCAGAAAATCAACGTTAATTATACATAAATCTATGCTTCTTGTTCTTCTTCTTGTTGGACTTTCTGTTTTCGCTAAAACAAATTACATATTCTGGTTTTTACATATTCTCAGAATTTCACAGATTCATGTGAAAATCTCGTATTTTTTTGTGTTCAAAGAGAATCGCTAAACTCCAAAAAAAGAAAGTGAACTCAATTCGTTCGTGCATCGTTAGTCTTGCTAATCATTGTTTGTAACGGATTACCGGCACAATGTTTACAAGAAATTGTCGATGGTTTTTTGTGTTATGTGAAATAAACACAAACTCGTTCATTTGTCAGTACTTAGTAAATTGTAAATCAATGAATATCACAAAGCCTCACACCATTTTATTCTATTGAAAGCGAATAAAGAAGCAAACAAATGAAACATGAACACTTAACGAGATTCTGCTTTGAGCAAAAAATTGTCTATTTAAAGTAAAATGGTTTTTTAAATCGAACAAATTACCATGTAAAAAGTGTAAATTGCGGAGGGTCAGTAATCGGATATTGGAAAAATTATGCGGTTGAATTTTGGCTATCGATGTGGTCAAAAATATATGATGTTTTCATAAAAAATTACACGAGTGAATGAAAAAAAAGTGATACCAATTTAATTGCAGCATTGGTCAAACACACGCCGAAAAAAAAACAGATCGAGGTCTCTTCATAAAATGAAATGTGCCACTTTGAGGTGGATTTTGTGGTGGTGATTGGAAAACAAGTTTGAAATAATCGAATCAGCGTGTGTAGATAATTAGAGATTTGCAACATAATATTTCTATAAATAATAAAAAAATTACAACCCAAAAAACGTATAATGAAAAAGCCACAGTTTTCAGGCCACACTTTGATACACTTCGCATGAGGCCAAATGCTGTGTGCACCGCTTTTTTTACAACTCGTTAGTTGTAAATAAAAATGTTCAAATATTTGGCAATTATTTTGAGAAGCTTTGTGAATTTGAGTCAATTTTGAAATGGCTTTTTTTGTCACTCAATTCAATTTGAATAATCGAAACAATGTTTAAACTGTTACCACTCTCGATGAACGATTGAATAAAAAATAGCAACAATTTGTAATAGTGATGACGACATCGGCACCAGCAATGAATATTGTTTGTAGACTGATAGATTGAAAGAGAAAGAGAAGAAAAATCATATTGTCACAGAGCGAAGCGATTTTTTAAAAATATATTAATTCATTCTTTCTCTCTCTCTCTCTCTCTCTCTCTATGCCGTTGGCTGACTGATTGAGTTGGGCCAACTAATTGATTGAGTACATTCGATTGTTTGCCTCAGATTGATTTGTGTATGTGAATTCGTTATTATGTCGCTGTAGGCTCTCGATTTGTTTGTTATTTTATTTTTTTGATTTATTATCTGCTCGTCGCATCGGATTCATTGAAAATGTAGAGTGTTTTCATTTCAATTGAATATTTTCTATTTGATTTCGATATTTAATATTATATGTAATCGAATCGAATTTGAGCCGGAGTGCTTACAAAGCCAAACAATGACACACTGTTGGAGGCGGAATCGGAAGAAGAGATAGAGATAAACACATACAGAGCGACAGAGAGAGGGAGACAGAAAGAGAGAGAACAAACACTACAATTGAACTGTGATTGAACGTATTTCGTTTGCCAGGGCTCGGCGACAGTTCTGTTGGTAGGATATGCTTTATTTACAACAAACAGCTAGCTCCATTAGATATTGTGCATGCAAACGGCACCAGTTGACATGACAAAAAGTCGAATGTGATGAATGTAATGGTTATTGATTGACTCGAATTGCAAAGTATCAAAATGAAAACGAACTCCAATCACTTTTACTACATTTTTGTTCTCTCTGTATGCTGAATTTCGATGAGCAATGTAACATGAAATGTGCTCGGCATATTTGTGCGCATAGGGATTTTTTTCAAATAGGAAGGTGTCAAACGGAATATGTCTATGTGATACTCGTACTACTCAATGAGAAAATATTTCAACATAAAAATATTTTATATTTTGGTGAAAATATGTTTTTTTTTCTATGCGATCGGATAACAAACGAGACGCATTAATGTATTGCAGTAATGTGCGAGCTACATTTTACAGGGGGTGATTTTTCAAAAACAAAAAATTCTCTAGCAAATCAGACAAATTTTCGTTTTTTTTTTTTTTTTTGGAAGTCACTTTTTGAGGCGAAAATCCCTAGCAAATCGAAAGAATTTTCTCCGCGAAAAACCCTAGCAAATCGGAAAAAAACCCTCTCGGAACCAAAAACCCTAGCAAATTCAAATTTTCGCGAAAAAAATTTCTCATCCAAATCCAATGTTTGACCGAATTTTGACATATATACAAATGAAAATATTTCAGAAATCGATTCCAATGAATTTTTCCACAATTCCAATGAAAATGTGACAAATTGAGTGTTACAGGTCTTTATTTGAAACTGAATTCAGAGCAGATACATTCAATTTGGTAGCGAGAAACGACACTCCATTTTACCCTCGTAAAGAGAGTTTTCAATTCTGATATAACATATACAATCAGAAAAATGTGATGGTAAACATATTTTTGGCATTTTAATCATGACCATTAGAATACATCCCTATATTGCGGTTAATTGCTTTCGTTTCGAAAATCCTTTCATTCCGACAATATGATTGAGTGAATCAATATCAATTCGGTGACCTATTTCGTTTATATTCAATATAAAATCACGTAATATCGCCATGTTATTAATGCGCGAATAAAAATGTTCGAGCCATTTTCAAATCCATTTGGATGCTCTTTATTCATTTCAATATTCACTTTTACAGTACCGAATCCATCGCGGTATTGATGAATGATTTTATCTTGGTATGAATAATGAAAATTTGTAAAATAACGTCACATTTTTTGAAAAATGGAAATGCTTTTTTCTCGCCCAAAAATAATCGAGTTATTGAAAAGGCATAAAAAGGTTTGGAATAAAAAACACTTTTTTGTGCCTTTTTTTTGTTGATACTCTGATGCACCAAAAACATTCGATATATTTGGTTGAATTGCCAAAAATGGACATAAGCTAAAAGAAACTTGTTCAATAAAATCGTACGCAATTTGCCAAATGTTGTGCGATCATCAGCTTTAAATATATTTTTCCAATTTTGGTCGTAATTTCGAATGAATGAGTGTACGACTAGGTGTATGATGTAAAATGACATCGATGACAGCATTCAAATACGAATAATATGAATAATACGAATTTCAATATTGTATATTCTGTAATTACTTAAAAACGTCCATGTAGCGATGACGATCTCTTCGAATTTATTTCATGCAACCTACATTTTTTTATAGAGAACATGTAACAACTTGAGATGGTTTATATCAGTATAGTTCACTTGGGTGCAAGAAACACCTTTTTAAACTTGATAGAGTTGAAGCTATCGTGAAGTATTTAATCTACAAAAACATGAGACTTTTACCACATTAAGAGTTGCTTATAATTTTGTTTTATTTTGGATTCATTAAATTTGTATCTTATTACAAAATTCATCAAAAATCTGTCTGAATATTAGTTAATCGATTGTTGGATCCAATTTTTAATCATCATCAGATGAACCTCTCGATTTTTTGCCCTTTTTATTTGCATTTTTCTTTGCATTTTTCTTAATATCCTCGGCAAGTTTTGCCTTAAGTATATCCTTCTCTTTCTCAGCCTTTTCCGCTTTTGAAAGTTTGCTTTCTTCTGCATTTTGGATGTGGATATTAAGTCTGACCCTTGCAGCCTCTAATTCACTTGCATCGGCCTCTTCTATTTCTATATCCTTTCCATGCTTCTTTTTACCTCCGTGTGTTGGTCTGAACGATAAAAATACAAAGAACGAAGCGTTATTAATTTGTGTTTTCAACCCCTAACCGGGCAGGTCGAAATCCTAACGTTATCGGGCAAGTGAGGCCTCTGAGGCCTGACGTACATTTTCCATGCAAATTGAATGAAAAAAATTTTTTTTTTCTTTTTTCTTTTTTCAAATTTCATTGAATTTATGCGACGAAAATTATTGTTTTAACATAATAGATATTGAATTAAATATGTTTTTTGTAAAATATAACTGAAAAAATGAAAATATAATCAATATTTATTCCGAATCGGATGAATTTAAGTTTCAGTTCAGTAGTTGTTTAGTACAAATTTTGCACTTCTTTTTAAAAACAAATTTTATCAACGATTAGTAGAAGGATGAAAGAATATATTACAAAACAATTCGTTTGATTAAAATAATATTTTATGCGATTTTATGTATCTTTTTTTTTAAATGCGCTACCGGGCCTCAGAGACCCGACCTGCCCGGTTAAGTGTTAAGAATATAGAATAATTTACTTACGCAACGAAAAGTACTACAGCAATTATTGCGATGAGCAAAACCAAACGGGCGAATGATACCATTTTCTTCGCTTTTCTAGTCTTGTAAGCAAATTTTTGAATTGAATTCAACTTGATATAGGTCCCCATATTTATACTCGGAAATTTTAATATTTTTCGATAAGAAAAAATATAACGCGTGCAAGAGGGTATTTCATGAATTAGGTTGAATAAAGAATATTTACATTCTTCATTTGCTGAATTTTTCGAGTTTATTTTTCTTATTTCAAAATAAGTAAAATTGAGCTGAAATTTTCACTATTTGTATATGCGTTTATCTCCATTGAATATTTCTTAATTTTTCAGATGGTTCAAAAATTGAGGTAATGTTTGAAAACGTAAAATTTATCAACCATTTTTAGTACGGCTAACTAGTTTTAAGATTCGGCAAACGAGTTGGAATATTCTCGCATTCCTCAGTGTATCGCGTCAACAGAAAAATACAGAAAAATATGTATTTTACAAAACGTAAGACAACTAAAAATTAAAAACGATACCACGTTTTAATTTGTCTTGTAAGCGAATGTTTCGACCGAAATTTCTTTGCACATTACAATAATTGTTCTAACATTTGTGTGTATCTAGGTGTGTATGATCATATTCAAGTCTCTATCGTAATGCGTAATAAGTATTTTTTTCTTCATAACGGAATGTGTTGTATCTTTCAATTTGTTTTCACTTCAATAATGAAAAAATCATCAAATTATGTTCATTCAAATTTTTTTCACTCCAAAATATCAAATGGAATTTTTTTCTGATAATTCGACAAAATTGCTAAGTCTGAATACGAATTAATCATTTTCTTCTGTTCCAAATATTGTTTTTATAACGATGAAACATTTTGAGTTAAAACAACCTGTTTTTCCGTAAATAATTATCGATTTTCTCTAGTTGAAAAAAAAAAATCATTCTACATCAACTGATTTTATCGTTTTTCATTAATATACTAATTCTACATCAAACCAAATGACATCGATGACAGCATCCACTTTAACAATGCGAATATCCGTTCTTAGTATTATTCTGTTTAAAATACCGTAAGCCATAATACATGTGTTTTGTGTCCTCAGGACAATGCACGGTATTCGTTTGTCTATGTCGCCGTTGTCTTGGTTTTCAGTCAAATTTCAATGATACATGAAGCTTATGGTGTCTCATTCATGTTTCCGATATGTCTATGGTTTTATTAGTATCGACATCATCATCGCAGCTACAAATATAACATTTTCACCGATTTTACAATGTCACTGTTCCATTTGCGTTCGAAACAATACGCCGTGGAAGAAAAAGAATGAATGAGTGGGTGAGTTGATTGCTGAATGCGAAAAGCGAAACATACAATGCGCAACGACCACAATATCATGCAAAATGAGCTCTGAAAATGAATGAATGTATGTCCAGAGGCAAATGATTTAATTATGCTATACGTGTATATTTGATATTTTTGGAATCTGTATTTTGCATCATGCGAACTGTATTAATGTTCAACGTCGAGACGTGTATTATCTCTCATTCACAAGAATTGCGGCAGTTTGTTTTCCATTCACTCGAAAATTCAAATGAATTCCAGATTTGCACTCGCACACAATCATCGTTATTAAGAGACGTTTTGATGCATAGAGCGATGATTACATACAACAGCAAAAAAAACAAAAGCAAATTAAATGAACACTTCATTTCAAGCTTTAATCAGAAGCGCCTTGAAACAATTATTGAAAGTCAATATGACTCATTATTTTTTTAGACAGAGAGAAACAGAGAATTATTAACCAATTGCATATCATAGGCTCTCATTAAATTTTATTTTCGAAAAAGGGGACGATGTCAGCATTATTTACAATTTTTTTAAAGTGTAATTATATATTGTGCATTGAAATAATATATATATATATATATATCTTTTTGAAGTTTATTCTTCTCTCTCAGACTGAAAAAAAGATGTTCAATTCGATATAATTGGTCTGAATTGTTTTGAATGCGATACTCATGAAAAATTGAAAACATGTGACTGACAATCGATATTTTTCAACCAATTTTCTTGCTTTTTTTCAAGTGGAGCTTCATCGAGACGAAATTCAATCGAAAAACGTAACATATTTATCTATAAAATTGGTATTTTATCGGAAAAAAACCGTGTCTGTTTTCGATGGCATCCATATGGCGGCCAAACATTTCCTTTCTCAAAATTAGACAAAAAATTGTTATGATATGACATGTATGTTTTTTAGGTCGTTAAATTCAAAAACCACAATTTTGAAGACAAAAAACAAATGTTCTTTTCAGTGACACTTGTGTTGTCACTTGAAAAGTGTTGATTAATGAACATCTAATATGAATAAATGATTTATTTCGATTTTTCAAATGTATTTCGAAACGAAAAAAAGTTGGTATTTTTTTCATCATCCCATTTGACACGGTAGCCACACTGCGGTGTGGTCAATTTAATTCAAAAAAAAATCCGCTAAAAATCTGTAGAGCATACTATTTTATGACTAGAATATCATCATCGCCATAATTATCACTGTTGCGGTCATCATCATAAAATCTATACAACAGTTACTGTTACTATTCTTATTTAGTTAACAATGTCAATCAAAGTGGTGTTGGCATTAATTCGGATTGAGAATGAGTCGACTGACGAGTTGAAAGAATGAGGGCGCACTGCGATAAAAATCGTGCGAAATAAGCTTTAAATGAATATGACCACCGGCAAATGATTTAATTATACGTATACGTGCGTATTTTCTGGGAGAGACCATCCGAGAGTCACTCAAATGCGTTGAATTCGTGTACGTTTAGACAAAACGGGTCTTTAAGGTATTGTCACGGCGGCTTGAGAAGAAAGAAATAACAAAAAAACATAGAATTAGTAATATGTAACTAGATTTCTGTTTTTAGGTGAGTTTCAACCATGTTCGACCATTTTGTATGCAATTCACTTCGGTTTTTCCACTTTTTGCACATTCCACTCCAATTTTAATGTGAAACCAAGTAATCATTTTAGTTGTAGGAAGGTCTTGGCTTCCTGTTTTAACAATTGAACGCGCATAATGCGCTAATTTCCAAAACTAACATAAGCATTCATTGTGCCATTTCGTCATTGGAAACATATAACACACATTCATAATATAACACCGGAATATGCGTCTCGTAACGGTTATTAAGTCAAATTGAAGTTATGGTTCAAGTGTGCTAATTTTGCTAGCGCTAATGTGCTAGCGCTAAATATGTACGATTATTTCTTTTAAATTTCATCATATTCACTGGAACTTAGAATTTCTGTTTAATATATTCCTTCTTCATAAATTACTTGTTTACAATTATATTGCGCTTATTAGATTGCCAACAATGAGTAAGAACATTTTAACGCGGCTCAAAATGATTTGCGAAACAAATTGATACGATTACAAGCATAAAAAATTCTTTGATATATATATGGTTTCGATGAAGAAATCTAATTGAAGTTCAAAACATGTGTTTTGGTTTGTATAAAAGTTGAAACGATTTTCTATGGTACTTTCGTGGTCATAAAACTATGTACATTGTTTATTCATATCATAATATTTATGGACATCAAAGAAAATCCATTGCTAATTTCAGCAGCTTCATTATTTGTTTGTTTCTTCAAGAGATAAATCAAACGCACGCTGTGCGCGATATTCAAAACTCAATTCACTTGATCAAGAACACGATTTAGCCGCACAAGATAAAAGCATAAACAATAAATGACTTCAATAATAAAGAAAGCACATGTACAGCTAAAGTGCCGCACTTGTAATTCCGGCCTTGATTTATGACACCGAAACGACCAAAAAACCATGCAGCGAAGAGCGAATAATAAAAGAAACAACAAGCACAACGGTTGCATACACTCGATATCGTTGAAAATGATCCATTAGATTCAAACACTATTTCTAGACCGCCTATTCTGGTATTTTCTTTAGTTTTTGTTCGCATTTTAGCAGCATGTTTTTACGCTTTCGGCTAAAAACGCACTCATACAATGTGAAAGAGAATCAACGAAGCCAATATTAAATTGTATAATTTGTTTGGTCCGTACTTATGAGCTTCCGCACTTTGCGAGCTCAAAAACCAGTTAAAATCCACCATGACCGAAGCGTGCAGTGCGTTTTGTTATGCGAAGAAACGGAGCAAACGACGAACAGAAGTCAATAATCAAATAGACAATTGCATACTGTTTAATTCAATCAGCTTGTTATAACTTTTTACGACCATCTCATACTCTGGGCCATTTAAGGCAATGAATTTGCTCAAGTAAATCGCTGTATTTCTTATGAATTGTTATCGTTCAACGGATTGTGCGAGCGGGGGCCACACTCTCTCACAACCCAAGGCAAATGTGCAGTTGAATGAACTGTAACTAACGATGGAGATTTGGTTTGTTGATTTTTATCAGGAAAAGTGGTCGCTAACGTCGTATTGTTTCAATATCTTTGGTAATTCTTTTTCTGCACATATACAATGAGATCACCAGCAGTGATAGTTCTGACATATTCGATTTAAATGGGAATTTAACACGTTTCATCCTCTGTCATATGACGACAATTCAATGACATACCACGCTGACCAAAGAAAATGACGACCGACGTTTACACGCACACGAAAGAAGGAAAAAAATTGGTTCGCATACACATATATTTAACTGTGAAATGACCAGAGGATTATCCATCAATCCAAAACAGAGATCACAGTCATTCTCCGTATACCACAAATAAATTGTGCAAGAGCCAAAACCGAGGGAGAAAAAAGACACACACACAAAGCCCACAAATTTTGCATGAAATTATATACAGTTGGTTCAAGCGAAATGATAACTGCTCGCTGGGGACCTTATCTATTGGCATGTTTGCACCATCTCATTTTCGCTGCCTCTTGAAACTCTCAAACCAAATGCAATTTTACGCCGTCACCGCCACCGTCGCTGCCACACACCAACACAACTACAGCACATTACCCAATTGCATATACGTACAAATCACGCATTTTGCTCACATCAGAAACACTTAACCACTATAATATTGCTCAATTCAATGGTTAATTTATAATATGAAACAACTGAATAAAATCCTAATATCTGATTGTGTCATTCTGTCTGTGGCTGAAGCGCTTTATGTATCTCGTTCCGTTTGACAATGTATTTTATAATTTACGCAGCCATTTCAGTCGTTTTCTCTCTCTCTCTCTCTCTCTCTCTCTCTCTCTCTCTATCTCGTTCTATTCACATTCACCATGTTCGTGTGCATCTCTGTCAGGCAGTATGTTTTGTGACATACAGAGAAAATAAATGTGTATGTTCGTTTCATTGCTTGGAGATTCTGCGAAACATAATGTGGCAGTGGCATTAAGCGAAAATAACAAATAATAACGTACATAAATAAAATGCTGGAAACAAAAGAACCAGCTCCAGATATGCACACGCTCTCTCATTTGACACACACACACGACGACAACAACAATAACGAGATATAGGAACGGTCAATGGCAACATTGAAAACGACGACGACGACGACTTCAAATACCGCTGATAGAGCAAGTGAAGTGAAAGGAGAGAACGGGATAGAGTGAAAAAAACGTAACCTAACGGAATGGCGAATATAAATTTCATCCATACAAAATATGTTCGATCGATCCATAAATTACATGTGAATTTGCTGTTTCCACTGCAATCATACAGATATATTTTGTTGAAGAATGAATGAGGTCGAAATGTTTGTTGTATCTCATCATTTGTATATATATAAAACATATTCGTTGTGTGTATATATTTTTTTGTGTCTCTCTTGCCATTTGCCATCTTTGACATTGTTCTATTCTATTTCGGTGTGTATTGCCATCAATTTTCTCATCGTATGACAAATATTTCTCTCTCTCAATTCGATGTCACCATATGAGCAAAATGGAAAACAAAAGACCCTTCTCCATATTTAGATGTCATTTGAAAATTGTTATTTTCATCTCAAAATAATATTGTCTTTATGTGCGAACTGTGTTGGTGCTTTGGTGTCCCGGGTTTGGCAGCATCAGCAGCAGCAGCAGCAGCAGAAGCGTTCTCTGTTCGCTCAAACGGAGAAAATCAATGCTTACTTTCATTAAGGGAATAATTTGTAAATAGACGACATGAAAAACCACAAAATTTTGCTATCTACGCATTTATACACATATCAGCCGAGTGCACAAGATTGTTTATTCTTCCATTTAAATCATATAACAATTACATATTACCACATGTACAAACTATATACGGATTGACAGAATGGAGTCACATTTAAATGTGAATGTTCTCTTTTTCTGTCATTCACTTCTGAATCAAGTCAAAAACAAAAACCGTTTATTTTATCAACACACATAATTCATTCAAATGGAAGCGTACGCACAACGCACACGATGTGCAACATATTTACGCAATATTTTGGGCACAATTCGTATGAGGAAGCCAAAATAACAAAATCACTCACCAAAAACAATTCTGTCATTTCAAAAACCAAGTGAAAACAACACCAGACCCAGCTACAACACACTCCACAGCATAAAATATTTTGGATTTTGTATAAAACAACAACAATTCTATATGGACTGTATACAAATGTGTGCCCATTCAATGATACAATTTCGTGGTTTGACCGCTACATACACACACATACACCAGCATACAATTCAAATTGCAATGCTGTGGCTTCGAAACCAAATGTTTTGTACATCAGCAATATCTAAATTTCAAATAGTTAAACTTCAGCCGGACCGAAAATGCTTAAGTTTGAATTCAGATTGAAAATTACCATTTTGAAGCAAAAAAAACACAAAAATCACATTACACATATTTCGAGAGTTACAAATATCATTTTTTTCTTGTTTTGTCTTCGATTTCGTTTTCCAATTGTAGTTCAAATCGAAAGTTTCTATTTAATTGTAAACAAATTGATTACAATCAAACTCATCAAATGATTGAATCGTTTATTTTTTGCTCGCTTTTCCAACTAGAAAATGTTTTGTTTACTTAATTTATTTTGCGTCTCTGTTGTTTTGCTGCCCTATCTCCAGATATCTTGATGGAGAAAAATTCGATTTGCCCGTTTGGCTGGTGCGTGCACTCGGAACGGAATGACACAAAGTTTGGCGAAAGTCAATTAAATGGAAAAATGACAAAACGAGCTCGCTTGCAATCCGAGAAATGGCCAATTTGTAATGAAGTGTAGCCAAAATAAGTAATTTGAATCGAATCAAATTAAAAAAGTTAGTCTCGTTTTTTGCAGCCAAGGTTTTTTTCCTTTTCGTCTGCTTCTCGCTCTTTCTCATATTAACTGTCGCCCGATTGTTCGCTCGCTCTCACACTCTTTCTCTGTGGCACGATTTTTTTTTTGTCAGACAACATGACTTTCAGTTGTGTTTCAATTACGTGTGTTCTTTATTTAATTGCTGCAATTGTTCGAATTTGCTGATTTTGGTACAAAGTGCTGTGCACACGCAGTTTGTTTAATGTCAATTTCCATTCCAATGGAATTTGTGTTGCTTAATTTTTATTTTGACTGTTACACATAGAGGGCGAGAGGGGGAACGAGATGGAAAGGAAGTGAAAGAGGAGACAGAGAGGAGAAATAGTGAGATAGAGAAAGGAAGAGTGAATTGGAGTGAAGAGTGTTCGCATTATGGAGACGATACCGTCATTAACTTGTACAATTTCACATAATTTCCTTATCGGGTTCATTGTTCGCATCAGTTGTGTTGCTGTGAATGTGTTGTGTGCAAAAGAGAGTTTGGTTCACATCAGATTTGGTTGAGTTGGTAGAATGCAAACTGCGTTAGCATATAATGGACAATTTTAAATTATCTGCGAAAATCGGCAGTATTCACACACACACAAATCCATCGCATCGGTAGTACCTCGGCAATGTATTACAGTGGCGGGAGCTGTCGTTTACCGAAAATTTCCATCACACAATGCAACATAAAAAAATGAATGGCTGATGTGTAAGCCACTACGTCTCTCGTTGGTTTTTTGGCTCGTGAGCGATTTCCACATGAAACCAGTGAGTGTGAGTTATTCGTTCCATTCCATAGATTGATGCAATTTGAATAATGAACACGGCTTGTCGTCATATTATACGTTTCATTCAAAGTTGGGAATGGCCACCACCGATCGTGTCTAGAGAGCGAGTGTTTGATACTTGGCTTCAACACCGGATTATTTGCGGTATAATAAATTTTGCCTGTGCGTCAGCTTAAGCGTAATTATTTTCAAATATATCAGCACAGATAGCTCACGTACATTCATAACCGTTACCAGCGACAGAGATTGGACTATTGGCACATTCATGTGTCAGTTCTCATCATTAAGACCTCATTTGGTCTTCAACTACACCGACTACGATGCTGTTGTTGTTTATTTTTAAATATCTATCACGACACTTGAGAGTTTTTCTTTCTCTCTCTTTCATTTTACATTATTTTTGCCGCATATTACATATTCGCATTATGAATGATTTTGTTTGTTTATGGCTGCACCATTGGCATACAAGCGTGCGCATACACATGTACCGTAGAGTAAAACGTACTCATATAATATGTAACTGATAATAAATGCGGTTGTTTACCCGAACGCAGCGTTTTAAACGACACTCACTTAAAAATAGACAAATCGAGCAATCGCTCTGTCAACCGTCTTAAATCCATAATCATTTGAAAATTTCGACAAAAGAGAAAGACTAACCAAGAGACAGAGATAAAACACAAACAGAACGCCAACAAATGAATGAAATCCAAATAACATATCAAAGAGCATTTTTCTCGGCAAGAGAGCTACACATCTTATCCGAACACTGATAAATGGGATTTGATTCGTATTACGCGTAAAATATGCTATTTTATTTCGTTACTCTTTCCCATTCTCTCCCACGTTGTCTGCCCGAACTGTATCGCTTGCGTATGCTATTTACATGTATGTTAATTTATAAGTGTTTGTTTACATACTGAGCAATGAACAGTAAATATTAAGTGCTGAACGAATCAATTTCAAAGTTGAACTATGAACGGCACCGTAATTTAGGTTAGCGCACGATGCGTGTATATGAAATGCGTGTGATTGAATGAATTTCAGAATATATACACGAGAAAACATAAACAACAATGTTCATCCAAAAATACAGACAGTCGAGAAAAAAACGTATTCATTTGGCGTTTTTTTGTTGTTGCGGTGTATTTGCAAAACACCGTGCCGTAAAAGAAGGAAAAAATCAGTCTGTAATGGAATAAACAGCGGTCGACCGTAAAACATATGACAATTGAGAAACTCCATGTGCGACACAAAAGCTCATGACCACACTGCAAACCGTTTTTTGAATTTGTTTTTAGTAACAACACAGTCAACGGCAAGCGAAAAATCAGTGCCCGAAACAGACGAAAACAGTGCAAGTAAATATACACACAACTACACGCGCGCATCACTGACATAATGAGCATTGCGACGTTGAATGTTTTGTTGTTGCTGTCATCGCACACAATGAAGCGATTTCGATCGATACAGCTACCGTTGGCTCTTTCTCGCTTGCGTGCCAAATATATTGTGCGAATGCGTCAACCGCATGCACAATGTCTGTGTATTATTTGAAGTGAGTGGGAACCAAATAGCTAAAAGCATGAACCGAATGAAAAATCTCGACAGCTGAGAGCTGGTGTGTATAAAGTACGAGCGTACGGTATGGTTCGTAGAAATCAAGCCAGTAGAAAATACCGATAAACCAGCGCCTATATATGTTTTGCTTTGTTTCACAACGTTACTGCGCTGTGAGTCTTTGCCGTGCATCGTTCGTTAAATTACATACGTACCGCGCGCACACAATGTGCTCATAGGTTTCTATCATTGACAAAAGTGAAATAAGTAAAAAAAAAGTGATTATTTTATATAAAACTTGTGCTCTCTGTGAATAACACAGAATGTGACTAAACCAAAAAAAAAAAAAAAATACACAAAAACCTAATCAGGAAAAATAAACTATTCTTTGTTGATTGGATCGAATGATAAGAAAGTGCTCCCTCACGCGAAATAAAACTCCTAGTTTTTTCGTGTTTTATGTGTGTTGTATGCGTTGTGCCTGTGTGAATAGGTGCTAAGGAAATGCTCGTATAACCAAATAAAAATTGTCATCAAGAACTTCCTTTTGTAATAAATATTGCGTGAATCAGAATCATTGACATCAAAAACGCAAATATATGTTTTTTCTTTTCATTCAATCCAAAAAGAAAACAACACATACACTGAAAAAGGAAACTTGAAGTCGAGCGCGTCGACTACATTCCCATCGTTCAACAATCGCAACCAAATGCCGACAAATATAAATAATAAAAATTAATGAATATTATAGCCGTGTGAATCGAACGCAATAACAGTTAAACATTATACGAATGAATTGATGTGTATGTGTTTAATTTTTCTTGTTGTTAGTCAATAAAATCATTGGTGCTCAAATGCGTAAATGAATTGACGATTTAATAAAAAAGCAAGACAGACAAATGAAAAAAACGAAATATTATCTATCAATCTACAATTTGCATGCCAACAAACGAAACGAAGAAAAGGAAAATTATAAAAACTTATTCGATTGAGAGAATTTGCGTATATGAAATCTCAATTGATTTTGTAAATAAAACATTGAAGGATGATGACGCGTTTCGTATGTGTGGATGTTCCAATGACATAGAGCGTTTTGATTAAAAATAGAATTTTGCTCGTGCGTCTATCGCAGTCGCCGTTACCGCCACCGACAAGGAAAATCGATTTGTTATTTGTTCGTTGTCTCATACAACGCTTTGATTCTGACTGCGAGTCTTCCGTTTAGCCAAAGTGAAAAATAGAAAACAATAAGAATTGTAGAAAAGCAAATACGGCCGATGATATAAAAAAAAACATTTCGAAAAAAACATTGCAGTTTGATTGTTTTTTTTCTTGTGTTATCAGAGGGAAAACGACAATTTGCTGTGGTAGCGCGCATACGAATCGGCAAGGACATACGCGCCATCACGTCGACGGAAACGACAGCAACAACAAAACCATTCACTGCAATCGAAGCTCTGACAAGTGTTCTGCATTGTAAACATGTTCATTGAAAAGCGCAAACCAACCGAAAACATGTGAACGGAATCGTGTTTTTTTTTGTTCGTCTTCGTTTCCTTGTGTACACACATTTAGCGAATGTTAATGTGCGATAGCAGCATATAACTATCAAAAGGTTTATTCGAACATTTTTTACGACGTGCGAAGAAGCACAACCACTTAAACATTATATTGTGCGAACACATCTTTTTTTTTCTTTCGTTGGTTCGGACCTGATATCGGTGTGAAGTGTAATTTGCGTTTTTTCGGTGGTGTTTTTCTTCGTCGAACGGATATACAAGCGGAAATTTTACTCTTTTTCTTTTGCCATCGTGCGCATCCTATGTGTTTTATTCATTGAATCAAACCCATCCTAATTTCCAGCATAATCTTTCTACTTTGCCACATTCCGTTTTTGGGATTCTCTTACCCGTCTCCGTTTCGGTTTGTGTTTACAGTCGGTTGCACAAAAGTACTGACCTCGAATCGCTGCATGCCATTCGACTGTGCCCAAGAGACTAGAATCGCATTTTATTTTGCGGCAAACACTGAATCAAATAGAGAGAGAAAAACGGAGACGAAAATCTTGATTGCGAATCTGCAGCCAGTGATGCATTTTCAGTTGTTGGCGCCAACCCTCAGCCAAGCATAGACCAAATGTTCATTGTAAGCAATAGAATACCGTTAAAAATCCCAAATTAACAAGTGTGGACAAGATAAAAAAACACCATTACAATTACTTTAATTGAAAAAAGAAGAAAAGCAGAATACCGTAACAATCGTGACCCCAAAAGTGTTGTTATATGTGCAACCGCGGAAAAGAGAATATGTCAGAATAATAGACCTTGTTGAAAATTTATAACGATTTGTTTTTTCTTATTTTTTCGCTGTTTACTGACATTTTGCCACACATGCAAGCGATAATAGTGATAACACGCTAATTTTGATGAACAAAATCAACAAGGACAAAAACACAATCAACTGGTGCACATCTCTGATTTGAATGGCCGTAGTTTGCGATACTTTTTCATCGATCGATTGCAGCAGCACCACCTCACACCACCCGAACAATTATTGCATTGTTTTTCATACCATCAATTCATACCTGGTGAGTGTATACATATTTTAACGATATAATTTCATGTTGTTTCTTTTCAAAATACATCACGTTTACAATTACAATGTTTAAACCCATTAAAATAACAAATCACTGTGAACTTATCGATAAACGGTTGCTTTGTTACGGTGCAACAGTAACAACAACAAATAATAACAGAAACAACGATAAAAAAAGTATCAGGCGCACGGCCTGCAATTAACCCAAACAACTTCATCGGTATGACAAATAGCTGTTGCCATTTTTATCGATAGATTTATAAATGTTTTGAATTTTAAAAGATCTCATCGTTGTTTTACATTCTATTTATGATCGCGTTATATTCCCGTGTATGTTATTGTTTTGGTTTTTATTACATTGAACGCGTCCCCGTCGCGATATTACTTTAAGTTTTTTTTCTGTATCACATCAACAAAACGCATTGTTGCTACTAGCACAAAACTTATAATATCTATTCGTTCGCATAGAAACGAAAGTTTTTATTTGCTTTTACAATAGCTTATCGCTTTTGTTTATTAATACATTTCATTCTGACTGAATTGATAGCTAAAGCAGCTTATCGCAAAACATTTGTATTAGGGTGTTTCTTTTTTGGTACATTTTGCAAAAATTCATCGGCACTGACTGTTTACACTCGGATTCCGAGTAAATAACAACATCACAACATTGCTATAATTTTAGCCAATTCAACCCGTTATTTTCCCGTTGGTTTTGTTATTCAATATTAAACATTTAACATGTGTTGCGTAAGTTTTGAGACTAAACGATCGCCATTTAAACACCCTACAAAAAATTGATTTTTTTTTTGCTTTGCCGGCAATATTTAACATTGTCTAGTGTTGCTTTAATATTGTCAGTGTAAAAGCAGTCATTTCCACTCAATTCATATCTCGTTTCGAAGGGGAATTGAAATGTGTAGCTCACGCATACATTCAAAGCTATCAAATATTTTTATTCTATAGAAATATTTATTGCAATATATTTAGTAAAAAATGAAAGTCTGCATACCAACCCAGAATACTATTTTATAATTTTTTGGTTTACCTTAATCTAGGCTGAGACTTTGCTTGAGCGAAGCTAGCTCCGCTACACCTGCTTCGATTGCTCTTTCGCAGCGTCAAATTGCTCTGTCTGAGCTGGCTGGTAACGGGTGGTGCTGCAGCTGGCCCTGCAGCTGCCCAAAAACAGTCAAAAATAACATAAAAATATACGCACCGCCCTCTATACACGCACATGTGTGGTGGCCCGTGTATTTGGCTGCCCGCAAACAGAAATCACTTCGAAGTCTGCCGACAAATCCACGGGTCCATAGTGAGAAGGTGCATTGCCTCTTATGGTTACGAGTGGAACCAAACGCCGCGATACTTTAATTTTATAAAGCCATTTCTAGTTCTTCCCGGTTCAGTCTGTTTTATGTCTATATATATCTCTCATGCTGATCTAAGCGAACAAGAGCTGTAGTTTGGCCCTTTCTACAGCTTCTTGTAGTGGAGCTTGCAGTGGGCCTTGCACTTGGCCTGGCGGTGGAGCACGTATATGTGGCTTTGATCAAATTTTCAGTGACGCTTGCAATCAAATACACAAACAATTTTTATATTGCGTTGCCTCAATCCAGGCCGAGACTTTCCTTTAGCAAAGCTAGCTCCGCTACA